GGGCCACTGGCCCCTATCCCAAAAATATGGGGGGGGGCAAAAGGACATGGTCCCTAGGAGACAGTACTGCTGCTCGGTTATGTATGAAGATACCACACTGTGGAGGAAAGCACACCTTTGCAAAAGACGTTCAAAAAGCTGCTCCTGTAGCTTTGACATCTTATCTAAGTAAGCATTACTCTCTGTCTTGCAGGAGGAAGAGGCCTGCAAGGTCACAACTGTGGGGCGCTCTACCGCACAGTGGAGTTACCATGGCTTCTAAACAACACAGAGAAACATTGCTTCTGATAAAGGCATTGGCCTGAGACTTCCCAGGGCAAATTCCTGTCTGATTTTTTAACCTACCCAAGTGAGACTGGCGTGATTTATGAGAGGAATGCATCGTTACCACATTCTACCTAAAGCAGGCACACATCAGCTCATCGTGTCTCCAGATGGTCACTGTTTTGTGGGTAGGATTCAAGCATATACCTGAAAGTTAGGTTTGCACAGTTAAAATAGATTAAAGGGCTCATTTGAAAAGAGCTACCGTATTTTTCGCTCTATAGGATGCACCAGACGATAGGACGCACCTAGTTTGGGTGGGAGGAAACAAGGAAAAAAAAAAATTCTAAATCCCAGAAGCCAGAACAGCAAGAGGGATCTGGCTTCTGGGATAGCCTCCTGCTGTTCTGGCTTCTGGGATAACCGCTGGGATAGCTTGTCTAGCTTTGCATGAAGCCTCCACAGGGCACGGGGAGCCTTCATTCCCCGTGCCCTGCGGAAGCTTCGCGGGGCTATCCAAAAGCCAGAATATCTAGAGGGAGCGCTACGCAGTGCTCCCTCTAGCTGCTCTAGCTTTGTGCGAAGCCTCCAGAGGGCAGCAGGATGAAGGCACCCCGATGCCCTGGGGAGGCTTTGCGCAGCTAAGCCAGAAGCCAGAACAGCGAGACGGAGTGCTGCGCAGCGCTCCCTCTCCCTGTTTTGGCTTCTGGCTTAGCCGCACAGCGTGCATTCGCTCCATAAGACGCACACACATATTCCCTTACTTTTTAGAAGGGAAAAAGTGCGTCTTATAGAGCGAAAAAGACAGTATTTTTGCGGTTTGGAAAGTGATAGGGAAATGCATTGAAAAGTATGGAATAAACCAATTACAAACAGGAAGGCTTGTGGATTTCTGCACAAGCAAATTGGGATGAATACAGACAAATGCTCATATAACCTCCCCAGAAACAAATCAGAATGAATGCACAATAAAGACCAGGTATGATCTCATCTCCGCCTGCACGATGGTCAAGTAAATCAAGATGACTACTCAATAAACAGCTCATCTGGAGGCAGGGGCGGAGGAAGGGGGTGTGGTGGGGGCGGGCTGCCCCCCGGGTGTCTTTGCTGAGGGGGGTGACATTTGGCGCGCCACTCGCCCGCAACTCCCAAGCCTACCCTGAGCCGTCTGGGGAAGGGGGGAGCTGCGCCGCTTTGCCAGTGGCATCCCTCCCCCCCATTGGTTTTGACAGCTCAGGAGAGGCTTGGGAGTCATGGGCGGGCAGTGCGCCGAATGTCCGCCATTGGTGGCTCACTCTGCTGCTGTGGGCGGCTCACTCCGCCCCTGGCTGCAGGGCACGCGCACTGCTCTATGCACCTGAGCAGCTATTCCGTGCCTGGGAGGGCACCCTCCATGCCCCACGCCCCTTGGGAGCGCGCTCCGCCCTGGGCAGTGCGGGCATATGCTCTGCCACTGTCTGGCGGTTCCCTTACCAAGGCAAAGGCAAGCCATGAGAAGTATGTGTGGAAAAGTTGCAGCATTTGGGCAAAAGTTGCAGCATTCTTCATTTAGATAAAAGGTGAGTAAGAGGTGACATGATGATGGAAGTTTGTAGAAAGTAAATGGAGAAAAGTTTCTCTCACAATGCTAGAATTTGTTAACATCCAATCAAGCACAATGTTGGAAGCTTCAGGACAAATAGAAAGCATGTCTTCATATAGCACATAGTTAAGTTATTCAGCCACCCCTACAAGGAGCAGTGATGGCGCAAACTTGGGTGTCTTTTAGAGAGGATTAGACAAATTCATAGAGGATGATCAATAGCTACAAACCATGATGGCTAAGCTCTGCCTCCATGGATGGGGGACATTAATGCTTCTGAATCCTAGTTTCTCGAAAATACAGGAGAGGAGAATGTTCTTGTGCCCTGGTTCTGCTTGCCACAGGCATCTGGTCAGCCACTGTGATAAATAATAATAATAATAATAATAAATCAAATCATGTAATCCTAGAGTTGGAAGGGACGCTGAGGATCATGTAATCCAACCTCATGCAATGCAGGAATATGCAGCTGTCCCTTACGGGGATCAAACCTGCAACCTTGGCACTATCAGCACCACGCTCCAAACAACTGAGCTATCCTCGTCAAATCAGTCAGCTCTAGAGTTTTCTTTAAATAGTTTGCCCTTGGAATTTCATATAACTTCCAGCGTAGCACATAATGAATGATGTCCCTTGGCACACCAGGGGGTGGGAAAGGAGCTCAGCAAGATAAGAAGAAGAAGAAGAAGAAGAAGAAGAAGAAGAAGAAGAAGAAGAAGAAGAAGAAGGAGAAGAAGAAGAAGAATTTATTTGTACCCCTCCCATCTGGCTGGGTTTCCCCAGCCACTCTGGGTGGCTTCCACAAACACCAAAAATACACTAATATATCATACATTAAAAACTTCCCTGAACAGGGCTGCCTTAAGATGTCTTCTGAATGTCAGGTAGTTGTTTATCTCTTTGACATCTGATGGGAGGGCGTTGCACAGGGCGGGCGCCACTACCGAGAAGGCCCTCCACCTGGTTCCCTGTAGCTTTGCTTCTCGCAATGAGGGAACCGCCAGAAGGCCCTCGGCACTGGACCTCAGCGTCCAGGCAGAACGATGGGGGTGGAGACCCTCCTTCAGGTATACTGGGCCGAGGCCGTTTAGGGCTTTAAAGGTCAACACCAACACTTTGAATTGTGCTGGGAGATCAGGGGCAGGGTTAAACATGGTCCCACAATTCCTTTGCTTAAAAGCACAGAAACTAAGACTTGTATCAAAAGAAGCTGGCAGCCCTAAGTGCATCACAATTCCCCCTTGTCCCATTTTTACACTCTGAGGACTATTTCCGCTTATCTTCTGCTTAGAAATCATGAGTCCAAGCGCTTTCCCACTTGACCTGTGCTTTCTAGCCATGAGTCCAAGCAGTTTTGCCTTTGTTCCACTGCTTTCTCAAAAAAAAAAAAAATCTGTTCTTTACTGCTACATCGGAACAAACGACAATCCACAGAACACCCACTTGCTGTTTATTCTGATTAAACACTAAAGATTGGACTCTTTGGGTGAAGCCACATGCTTTAAAGGTGTATTGCATGTCCTTCAAAGGCATGGCATGAATCTGCCCTAACAACACAAAGTGAGAAGTTGGAGCTCATGGTGGTGAATACTGTATTATTAGAGTGACCATTTGCAAACATTAGGTTTAAATGAGAACAGAATGTGGCCAGTAATTTCTTTGCTCTTCCTGGCACAGTGCTTCAAATACAGCTTGGAGGTTGGGACACTTATTTACATGTTGCAAATGGGTGATCTGGGACACATTTCTGGGATGTAAGCCTCCTGCAAGGTTAAAAGCCCAGACATGAAAGGATGCAAGGCCCCCAGTTCAGCTGCACTAGAGCAGTTTGTCTGTTTCTTCTGTCTCAGCGTAGATCAGATACAAAGAGCTTCATTGTTCATGTTGGCTCTCACAGCCAGTGTACTACAGTAGACCGGGTGTTTACATTTGGGGATCTAAGTTCCAGTCTGACTTGGTGGCTGTGGAAAAGTGAAAATCTCTCAGCTTAGCCTGCAGCCAGCAAAATGAAATAAAGACATATTGACACCTGCCCATGGGATATAGCAGTAATAATAATAATAATAATAATAATAATAATAATAATAATTTATTTATACCCCGCCCTTCCCGGTTCAGAAAACCAGGCTCAGGGCGGCTAACAACAAATTTAAAACACTTAATTGATGCAACAAAAAACAGCATAAAATACAGAATAAAACGTGAATAACAATAAATTTAGAATTCAAAAATCAATTTAGGGTGGAAATCCATCCCATAAACATTAGATGATCACCAGGGCTAGCTGGTTAAATTAGTCCTATTTGGGCCAGCGAGGAGACCAGGGGAGAATTAGCTGTGGGATCCCAGAGCGGGTAATCTTCATAAAAAGGGGAGGGGAGGGGAGGGAAGGGAAGGAAGGGGAATAAAAGATCAGACTAAGTTCAAATTGAAAGCCAGGCGGAATAGCTCTGTCTTACAGGCCACACGGAAGGAAGTTAAATCCTACAGGGCCCTCATAGGACAGAGCATTCCACCAGGTCGGAGCCATCACTGAGAAGGCCCTGGCCCTGGCGGATGATAATCTGACTTCCTTAGTAACAGCATCCAAATGGTTAAGTGTGAAGGTGGTAGATAAAACAGATGATGAGCTAAAGAAAACTGACCCTGGCTGTGATGCCACATGTACTCAGATTGCACCTATCGCCGCCCCACGTATGCAAATTATCACTTAATTTTTACTTGGCTGCTTTCTAATATTCCCAGCTAGACAAGGTACTGTTAGCACCTTGTCTTGGGTCAGTTGGTTGCTCTTCTTCAGGCAGCAAAATGTCTTGGATCAGCCCTGCTTAGAAGCAGAACCCAGTGAATTCAATGGCACTAAGTCTGACATTCTAAGCTGACTTGCTGAGCCCTATTGAACACATTGAGTGGAGAGATAAGAATTTGCATTCCCTGGACGTTCCCCAACATGAAAACAAGCAAACAATGGACTCCTTGTGCTTAGAAAAATAGTGCAGCAGGGAGGCAGCAGAGAAAATGTCTCCCCGATTTGCTGATTTTCTACCTGTAGAGAGGCTTGCTCATTTCCAGTGGGAGGAGGAATTCGGGAAGATACCCTCCCCCTACTTGCCGGCCAAAGAGGGACATTCCAGAATTCCCCACGCCCTCCCACACCCTTCAGCCAGCTTCCTTCTGCTTCGGTGTGGACATTGCCTCTTACTTCCTGGTAATTGTGCTTGGAATGGTAACCCTGATATGAACTCTACAAGATAAGTGAATCCTCTTTTTAGAAATAATAATTAAAAAAAGCCTCAGAAAAATAGCACATAAGTGAAATGTCAAATGTGAGGCAACATTTGAAGTACACCTCTCCCACCACATTTTGTTCATCTGTTTTTTAGTCTCCCTCACCCACCTTGGCTTTGTCTGCTTCTTAATCTTTTTGCTCGCAGCAAGAGGTTGAATAAAATGTGCGATAACTGCGGCACCCTTCCCTGACTCCCACACGAACATGGACAAATCGAGGAGGGAAGGGAGAATGTCCTAAGGCTATGGAAGTATTCAGAGTGCAACCTGCTCTCTCTGTGCAGCAACAAAGGGCGAAAGCCGCCTCTGAGCAAAGGTGGGGCGAGTGCAAGGTGCAGGGAGTGGAGCCGATAGGGTTTCTGTGGCTGTGTTTCTCCTGTGTATGCTCAGCAGGTTGAAGGCAAGCAGTGGGACGGCCGCCAGACACACCCAGTCCAGGCAGTAAAACGATCCCTGCTCTGCCCCCAAGCTCTTTCTAACGGATAAAAGGGGAGGAAGTGCCAGCCTGCAGGTTCAGAGGGACTTTTCTCTCTTTAACTCCTCCGAGCCTTACTTGCTGTTTCTTCCCACCCCCTCTCTCTCTTCAAAATAAGGAAAGCCCTGCTTGAATAGGCCATGTCGAAATTTGGTTACAGCTCCCGCTCAGCAGCTGGGTCCGGCGGGTTCACCCAGGTCAGAGTCAGCTCCGTCTCTTCATCTCGTGGAATCGGAGGCGGCGGCAGTTTCAGCAAGCCGGGGGGCTTTGGCAGCTCCAGCCTCTATAACTTGGGTTCTGGCGTCAGGAGGATTGCCCCCGCCAGCTCCTACAGCGTCCAGTCTTCCTACGGTGCCCTCGGTTCCAGCAGACATGGAGGGATGTATGGTGGAGGGTTTTCGCCTGCAGGCATTCAAGAGGTCACCATCAACCAGAACCTCTTGTCGCCCCTCAACCTGGAAATCGACCCCACCATCCAGAAGGTGCGCAAGGAGGAGAAGGAACAGATCAAGACCCTCAACAACAAGTTTGCATCCTTCATCGATAAGGTGAGCTAGACGTAGCTTATTCTGATCCTTCTCTAGTGTCCCAGCAATCGATAGGAGCTTCTCTACAAGCCTCATGGGGCCGTGGCTGTGCTTTGCTTAGAAGTATGGTCTTTTGTTGTAAGCTCAACTGTGGCTCTGCTAGATGTTTTATTTGAAGCAGAATCTGGCCTTTGTTCTCTGCTTTTGATTTGTAACTCGATGACCAACATGACCCTGCCATTGCTTTCTCGGTGATCTTCCTTATTCACGGCCTGGTTAATAGCAGGGTGTGTTGGTGTCACAACTTCAACATGATGGCTTTTATTCCCTCATGTGAAGGCGGTGACCAGCACACCCCACACTGGGGAAAGTGGAATGAGAAGGGGATCCAAAGTAAAACATACATACAGTTATCTTTTGCTTGCTGCAACTTCAGTTCTCTGAAATTAAGGCGGTTAAAAGATTTCATAGGTTCAATAATATATTTTAAAAAAAATATCAGTGAATTGAAGCTTCACCTCTTTTACTGATTGATCAATAAATCTCTGTTAAAGTGCACCACACTTTATAAGGTAAAAGAGGACAGATTGCAACCCCATGGAGATATAGTCTATCATCCATTTATTTATTTTCAATAAATGTTTTATTACACCTGCTTCTAGCTCCTGGACCATTTTTTCTTTCTTTTTAAGTTCTCTCAGATACCCGGGAGTATCTTATTTGTTACCCTGTGGTATATCACAAGCATTCATTAGCCGTAACCTTCATAGCACATTGCAGTAGAGTTTGCATTACTTACCCAAGAAGAAATGTGTTGAATTTAATAGTCAGCCCACACTGACTTCCTGTGAAGTATTATGTCCACACACACACACACACACACACAGTGAGCCCCAGTAACTTTGTGTATTCACATCCCTCCGCCATTGCAAGTGTGATGCAGTCAGCAGGCTGTGAGTTTAGGCACGATGAACCTGGGGCAGGGGGTGGAATCACTGATCAGTCACAGCCTTAACTGGGTTGTTTTGAGTTGGGAATGCAGTAAAAGGTATAGTTAATCAATCTTGATGTAGATCAAAAGAAATCTAAATACATATCGGAAGTCCAAAAGTTCTGCAAAACATGTACCTGAACCCAAGCTTCTACTATTTACAGTGTGCTCTGGATCTTACTCGCCTGATAAATGCAAATACTTGATATGAAAAATCTCCATTTTCAGCATAGTTTTATCCAGAGTGTTGCAGTTTTAGCTGTTCCTCTCCCACAAATAATCAGTGAATCTCCTTCCTCCCACGCCCTCCTCTATCTACATTCCTCGGAGGACTCCTTCCCCCAGCCCCATCTACCCCCACATCTAAGAGCTGAGAGCCATGAAGGGCCATAATCTTCTACTGCTTTGTGGTATTTCGAGTCCTGCTGGCAGAATGACAGGCTTTATGGAATTTGCCTCGGGGGCTTTTTTCAGGTCCGATTCCTTGAGCAGCAAAACAAAATGCTGGAGACCAAGTGGAACCTCCTGCAGGAGCAGAAGACCACACGGAGCAACATCCCTGCCTTCTTTGAAGCCTACATCAGCAACCTGCGGAGGCAGCTGGATGCCCTGGTGAACGACAAGGGACGCCTGGAGGGAGAGCTGAAGAACATGCAGGATCTTGTTGAGGATTTCAAGAACAAGTAATGTATTCATAACGGTTTTTGCAGAGATGAGCAGGTTCAGGTGGCCCATTCACAAAGCATCACCTGTCTCTAAATGGGAGAGCTTAAAGCTTCGATCCTATGCACATTTCTTTTGAGAGCAAATCCCATTGGTTTCAGTGGGGCCAAGCAACCGTAATTGTGCACTGTGAGCCTCTGCACGTATACTCCAAAGTATCTCCCACTAGGCTTGTCAGGTGCAAAAAGAGAGGTCAGGATTCCTGCACTTTTAATAGTTAATACCAAAGAAAGAATTTCGGCAGATTTAGCTGGCCAGGCAAGCTACACCTGTTGAATACCCCTATTCTAAGGGCACATACACAACATACATTTAAAGCACATGGCTTTCCCATCACTCTTAACAAACCACAGTTCCCAGGATTCCTTGGAGGAAGCCACATGCATTAAATGTGTGTTATATCTGTGGTGTGGATGTGACCTAATGCAACCTGCAAAGGTGTAGGAATCCTGTCCTCTTTCCCCCCTTGACTGCTGCAAGCCCCACTGAGCTTGCTAGGGGTTACTTCTAAGCAGGTGTATGCAGAGATACCCTGAGATGACTCTCATGCAGTTCGCAGTGTGAGCATGAAAGTGTCTGCTCAAAACTACAAACTATTGAGTTCAATGGGACTTCCTCCCAGGTAAATGAGTGTAGAATTGCAACCTCAGTATGAGGGTTTGCTGCATCTTCCAAAGCATGCAAGAAATCATCAACTTTTAAAGAAACTGCACTGGGTATCCAATAAACCTAGCATAGGCAACATCAGGCATTCATAATCTTGGAGTATTTTCAAGGGCCCAGGTAAGTGCAGGGGTGGGGAACCTTTGGCCTGTCAGATGTTCCTGGACTACAGCTCCCATAATCCCTGTCTATTGGCCATGCTGGCTTGGGCTGATGGGAGCTGGAGTCCTGCAACATCTGGAGGGCCACGGGTTCCCCACCCTTGATTGAAAGCATCCAAGATCTGGTAGCCTTTTAGTGTCTGAATATATCTCGTTGTGACCCCCCTCCTTCCTGTATGGATGCCAGAAGCCTGCCTGCCTGGCACTGAGTTTCCCAAACTGAATATTGATGCAATGGTTTGATTGCAACCTTGTTAGACTCTTCTCATTGGAAGCCACACACTGCATGGTCCCTTATTGTACCTGCTCCTGCTCCCCATCCTTGGAGCAGGACCTCAGAGTGCATTCATGTGGACACATATTTTGCTTAAGATAAGGGTGTTAAATAAATGTCATAAACTTAAAGGTATGGAAGAGGATAGCAGCAGAATGACTTTGCTTCAGCCAGTGTTGGGTACTTGCAGGAGTCCAGTGTTTCTGAACTACATCATCCCTGACCATAGATCTTGTTGGCCAGAGTTATGGTTCATCAATATCTGGAGTTTGGAAAGGTTTACCACCCCAGTGTTTCTGTGTTCATGGGAATCCATGGTGGCTGAATCCACAGTTTTTATCTACATTAGTTCAAGGAAGAATGATTGAACAAACTTGTCCCCAACCTAGTTGAATTTTATTTATTTATTTTACTATAAAAATACTTATATACCACTCTACCACCAAAATGTATCAAAGCAGTTTACAAAAGCAATTTTGTTTTTTAAAAAAGAAAAGTATTAGAATGCAGTAATGTAATACATTGGCAATTACCACAAAAAGCACAAGGAAAACACTTGGGCTGTATAACACAAGGCTAGGAAATCTGCAATCATTCAAGTATTGCTGGACTACAATTCCCATCAAACCTAATCACTGGCCAATGGCTATACTTCCTGGGGCTGATGTTGCTGAGTTGGGAGTCCATCCACATCTGGAGGATCACAGGCTCCCCGTCGGTGGTATAGCAGGTATTGGTTGGTTAAAAAGCAGGCTTTTACCTTGCTAGAAGCTAGTCGTGGAAATCTTCTGGAGTCGATCTGGGATGGGCAGCAGGACTGTGCTGATAAAAACATATTTGTGATATCAAATTGAGAGGTATTTCTTATAAGGAGACATGAGAGGATTCTAGAGCCACATAAGAAGCAATAACATATTAGAGGAGAGACTTCAGATTCAGACTTACTCTTTTGTTAAAGTGCAAGAACATTAAACAGCAGCGGAAATGGTGTGGGTATGTGTCAAAAATTTAGAAAGAATATATAGTTTAATCCCAATGGGCCTGCATGCATGTCACATGAGACATCATTAAGCTCTCCTGATTTGCCTTTTAAATATCAAGCCTTAGGGCTGATTTCCTTAGGCTGAAATAGTACCAGGGCGTGGCACAGCCCACTATGGACTTCAACATTTCAGGCTGCGGAGCGGAAATCACATGTCTGAATGATACCCTCACCCATATGCTACCCTCACCCACACCTGTAGCTCTCTTTGCATGAAAAGCAGTCCTGCTGAGCTAGGTTAAAGCCTTCTTCTCTGATCCTGCTAGCTTTTTTGGCATATGGCAGGAGAAGGAATTTCCAGCAGGTTTATGGGCTGAAACACCTCCATCTTTTAATAATTTCCTGGTATACATAACTTATTAGAGAGGTGCAGTGACCTTAAGGTTAAAAGCTTGCTCACGTCTACCCTAGCAGCAGTTTTAACAAGATTTGGCTTCTGGATTCAATTGTGGTCTGCAGATTGTTATGTGTGTGGTGGTGGTTGTGATGGTGTTTTACTTCCTTTTGCATTATATGCCTTTGGATTAGTTGCACGACTCTTCTGGGGCTGTTGTCACAGGCTCTCTCTCTCTCTCTCCCTCCCTCCCTCTCCCTCTCTCTGGTTTGGATTAGGAAGGTCAGGTGTCATCTGTGAGGTTGTGGATCAAAAGGTTTCCCTGCATAGTCAGAACACAGGGTTGGGTTAGATAGCTTTTTGCCCCTGCCCTTCCAGCTCAGGTGGTTTATTCCATCTGTAGCCGCCCCCATTATTTGCCCCCTCAAGGTGGGCTAAGCCAAGAGAGAGTAACTGGTCCCAGCTTGCCCAGACAGCTTCAAGGTTGAGTGAGGATTTTCGCTCAGCTCTCCCCAGACCACTCCCCAGCCCTCTTAACTACTATGCCGCACCCTGAATCTACAGAACTTAAACCAAGCTTCTGCTCTATCACATATCTGGTGTTTTAAAGCTTTAGTAAATCACGTTTCAGCTGTTACGCTTTCACTGTGTACCCATATGCTGTGTTCTTGCATGGCCACGCACTTAAAAAGCAATGTGTGTGCATTTCGTGTCCTCTAACAATTGAGATTAGCTGCTTTGTGCAATTAATTCAAAGAGGAAAATTCGAGCGAGTGAAAGGTAGCTCCCCCCCTCCCTGGCTTTCCCTCTCCCTTGGCAAAGAATTGCTGCAAGGCCGGGGGGCGGGGGGAGTTTAAACGTTGTATCTGTCGATGAACTTTGCAGTTCACAAAGGAACACACCTGGTGTTATTAAAAAGAGTTCCATGGAGACGAGCGGAGCAAAGGTTGGCAGTTTGATCTTGTACAAGAGGTCCTTCATGCTCCTAGAGGAAGTCTCAATGGGAACCAATTCCTCACCCTAACCCCCGCCCCACCTATAGTGCTTTAAAATATATATGAGTTGGCAAACTGGCTCAGACCGGAACGGAAAGCAAACAGTACTGATAAACCCCCAGGGTGTGACCCATAGAGGAGAAAAGTCAATAACTAGTAATCCTTCCCCAGGTGCAGCTGTATTATGCATAGCTAGGATAACTGGTGAGGGGGGTGCAGAGAGACAGCGACCCTGGGTAGGGCTTGGTTAGGGTTGCTATATTATTAATCATCTGAATTGCCCCTTTGAAACAGCTGCCAACGCTTTACAATCAAAGGGCGTTTTCCTGAACCAAGGGCATATCTATAATGCATATTTAAACTGGTATAAAAGTCATTCTTTTTCAACAGTCAGCCCTGGGACACATAGTTCTGTGCAAGGGTGTACTTGAAGATATGCAATGTAGAGAATTCTCAGCAAAACTACAGCTCCCACAATGTTTTGGGGGAAGGAAGAGAGAGCTATGACAATGAGCATTCTATAAAAGTGATATAGATTTGTGGAGTAGTTTTTTTTTCTGAGATAAGTGAATTTGAAACAGTCTCTTATTTCTTGCCTTGTGATTTCAAACAGGGATGATTCAAAGACCAAGTGTGAAGCTGCACTCAGGCTCCCAACAATATTCTTGGGGAAACATAGACATGGGTAATATCTAAAAAGACAGGGGAGTAATTTGAATCAGTTTAAGGTGAACTTCCCATATGTGTTATTTACGAAATACAATGCAAACCGAAAGACAAAACTCACACTTCTCCGAATCGTGCAATGCTGTTCCCCTGCCAAGTTACATGTTCAAAAATGCACTTACAAGTGTGCATAAAAATGAATGCATTTGTGAAAATAACATACAGAAATGTCTTGCATTGGGGGAAACTGCTCTGCAGAAATGTGCCTCTTCAGAGAGATTCTCATGGAAATGCTGATGAATTTTTGTGAAGACTTTCTTTGGAAATGTGGAGAAACCAAAATTGACAGATTTGTCCATCTGCAGATGTGGGAGACCTAGGTTTTTCAAAGGGAGGTGCCTTTTATTCTTCCTCTCCCTTGCCGCATTCAGCACCTTAGTCCACATGGTGTGGGGAAGGTAAAGGTAAAGGGACCCCTGACCATTAGGTCCAGTCGTGGCCAACTCTGGGGTTGCGGCGCTCATCTCACTTTATTGGCCGAGGGAGCCGGCGTACAGCTTCCGGGTCATGTGGCCAGCATGACTAAGCCGCTTCTGGCGAACCAGAGCAGCGCACGGAAACACCGTTTACCTTCCCGCCGGAGCGGTACCTATTTATCTACTTGCACTTTGACGTGCTTTTGAACTGCTAGGTTGGCAGGAGCAGGGACCGAGCAACGGGAGCTCACCCCGTCACAGGGATTTGAACCGCTGACCTACTGATCGGCAAGCCCTAAGCTCTGTGGTTTAACCCACAGCACCATCCGCGTCCCTTATGGGGTGTCCCTTATGGGGAAGGAGGAATAGACAAAAATCACCTTATCTTATTCACCGGTGGCATGTGCCCTGAGGAGAACTCAGGGGCTGCTGCTTCCACTGAGAGTCAAGCCAAGATTCAATCCATTTAGTTTAGTACAATTTTATCACGCCTTATACTGAAGTTGCTCAGGGTAGCCTTTCTTTACTTTCAGGGGTGGGCAGAGCGCAAGATAGCGAGATCCACTCTGTTATTTGCTAGAGGGATAAGGAGCAAACATAGATTTAAAGAACAGGGTGCCCCTAAGCACATGATCCATCCGGGAATATATATTCAGGGCCAGAACTGGGTGTACAGTCTGCTGACTCACAAATCCACTCCTGGTTTTCCCCTTAAGCTTTCTTCATTTCAGCAGCCTAATTCAGAAGAGCATAGGTATGAGAGAGAAGGAGCTGCTATTTTTTTAGCAGCTGCTAGTAGAAACCCTTAGTGATCTGCTGGAAACCACTCAGAGATCTACCAGTAAGGCCCTAATCTACCTTCTGCCCCCCCAATCCCACCCTTGATCTCTGAACTCCACTCAAGTCTTATTCACAGAATGCATATAAGTGTTGCCAGATTTTGATACCTGAGCAGGACCTGCGCTCAGCTGATCAGTGACCACATGGAAGAACATTTAGTTGTGAAAGTGCTGCTTCGTATTTCAAAGAAATCCTGTTCACCAGATCACTTGTGTGCATGCAGCATCTGTTAGCCAAGAGGGTGTTCTTCCCATGATAGCCACAATCTTGGATAGCTTTAAAGTGGGGTCAGACCAATTCATGGAGGAGAAGACTACTAGCCTGTGTTCTTCCTCCACAAGCAGAGACCCTTTGCCTCTGAATACTAGTTGCTGAGGAGCACCAGTGGGGAGAGAGGTGTTGTGACCATGTGCCTCTTGTGGACTTCTCATAGACATCTAGTTGGCCACTGTGAGACCAGTGTGCTGGGCAAGAAGGGTCTTCGGTCTGAAGCTCCTTTACATTCTAAGCAATGTTGAAGAGTTGTTCTTGAGACTAATATGTGCCACACAAACTCCTTCAGGGAAGGGCAAGGTATTTTAAAATCAAAAGGGGGGGTGGGAATCTATGTGATCTATGCTGGCTCAATAGCCAAGGGTTCTAGGTTAGATTTGATATTATATATATTGTGGAAATAATTTGCCAAAAACAAAAGTAGTAGTAGTAGCAATTTATGAATTGCTTCCTGTGGTGCATCTCAAAGTGACTTACAAGACACTAAAAACATATATAAGGCAATTACATACATATAAAAAGTTAAAATATTGCATATATAAAATCGGTTATTTGCAAGAGGCCAGATAGGATAACAATCTCCACTGAGAAGGCTTGTTGAAAGAGGAAACTGTTCAACAAGCACCAACAAGACAATAGAGAGGGGGATATGAAGTACTTTGAAGTCATGATGGCTGTGGAATAAAAGCAAAGTCCGTTTACATGAATGCTGTAAATGACACAGAGGAAGGCCTGCCCTTAACTACACTATCTTTGCACAAAGGCCTTTGAACTCTCTCTCTCTCTCTCTCTTGCCAATAACCTCATGAAAAGACACTGGCAGGCATCTGAAATGCAAATAGCACTGAAGGGGCAGAGAATATTATTGTTCTATCTTTTGCCTTTGGGGTTTTGCAACAGTATTGACCAATTATGGAAACTGAAATCCATTCCAGTCCTCTGGTATTTATGCTCAAGGGCCATTGCCAAACCAGTTATCCATCTTCAAGAGTGGAGAGAAGGGAGGGGATGACTGTTTCTTCCTCTTTCTTTGAAACAGTGCCACATTCTTGACTCTTACATAGTTGAAGGTCAACTCTAATCCTTAGATGCTTCTCAGAAGGATGGTTGCCTGATTAGTTATCATCCATTTTGTACCTACTCAATCTTGTGTTTGTCAGTGTGGAGTCTGAATAGTGTTTCTTCTTGGTTAAGAGCAGAAGAAATTGTGGCCGCTGCAAACCACAGCACTATTTTCATGTTTTTTTGCCCATGTCAGGAAACTTAGGGTATCTAATTTTCACAAAGGTTTTATTATTATTATTGTTGTTCATCATCACACTTTTTCCATTCATCTTGCTTTTCCATCTTTTGCATTTCCCCCCACGCTGTGAAATTGGTCTAGCTATGCAAAAGTGTTTCTTAGAGCAACATCTTTCTCTCCCTCAATCCCCCCCCCCCCATTTCCAAATCCAAAATAACTGGCTTCCTAGATTTAGGGCACACCTTTGCAATTATGAACAGACCAGTTTTGCTCCTGAAAATGAAAAGTAGAGATGTTTGTTGTGTTCATATTTGGCAAGTAGAACCAGAGAAAATAGAGGCTCCACTGAATGATTTTGGCAGCCAAGTAGCAAAGGCTAAACCAGAATGCTGTATTGATGTTGCATATTGCAGGTAATTGGTGCCTAGAATTTATTTGATTTGACAAAGTGCCAAGACTGGTGGGCAGAGAAATTCAAAGGTGGTTTCACCCTCAGTCTTGCTGGACTCTCACAAGCAGGCTGGAGGTGCTCCTGCAATTCTCTATCCATTTCTCAGGGGTTTTCTTTTCTTTTTTGTTTCATTGGGGACACCAGGAGGGAAATTCCCAAGAGAGCTTTAGACCAACTTGGTGGGAACAACCAAGCTGTTTCCAAATCTCTCTCCCCCCCCCAACACATCCCTGAACCACACCTAGCACACATCCATTTTGGCCATACCAGTGTCAGAAATCTTACGTTTATCTGGGCCAGGTTATTGCCAGTTTCCCTGGTGGCAGGGAGGCTGGATCAAACATTCAGCGCTCCATCTCCAAGTTTGAAAAGGTGGAAAAGAATGCTCTCCCAGGAGCCACAGGATTGCACCCTTTAAACTCTGCAGCCCAACTTAATTAGTAGCTTTCAGGACTGGAGAATCTGATATGAAGGATTTTTTTACAAAGTACAGTTGTTTTTCTGTAAAGGGAGGAGAGGGAAAGAGAGAAAGTTGGTTGTCACTGAAAGGGAAGGGGGATGAAATACGGTTAATGGTCTTGATTTGCTCGAGAACAGAACTGCAATCTGGAGTTTGTGTGCCATGATTTTTGCCTTGTTAGTTCAGTTGGTTAGACTGTGGTGCTGATAACGACAAGGCTGCAGGTTCGATCCATGTATGCAAGAGCTGCATATTCCTGCATTGCAGGGGCTGGACTAGATGTTCCCCAGGGTCCCTTCCAACTCTACAATTCTATGATTCTACTAACCTACATGTACATTTAAATGATGTATTTTAATTCCCTTTTTCTAACAGATACGAAGATGAAATCAACAAGCGCACAACAGCAGAAAATGACTTTGTTGTGCTCAAGAAGGTGAGAAACCATAACTGTTTTTTTACTCACAGTGTCATTGGTAATCATATGTGTTCTGACCTATGGTTTTGTGCCTTGATGACCACACTCAAGATGCTAAGGCTGCAAGCTTTTCCAGTAGTATTTCTGCAGCTCTCTATGAATTGAGATCTGCTAAAGTGAAGGAGGTGACAAAACTGTTTTGAGACAGTGCACTACAAAGTGAAGATGAGGGGTCACATAGCTAAATGTTGGTCCACACTGGAAAACCTCGCAATGCACATAGAAAATTAGACTTGCCTTCTCCCTGATATGCTAGCTTCCCATACATAGGGTCTTCCTCTTGCCCCATGAGAAGCATTCAGTGATGTTATCCCCATCTGCAATATTAAGTGGTACAGTTTTTGTATCACCGCTCCACTTGCTCTTTGTAGGAGCTAGAACTGAATGCAGCAAAGATTCTGAAAAAGCAACCTTAACGAAGATCAGGCTTGCGTTCATGGAAGGTGGGGGAGATGGGCCACAGAATCATTTCTCAGAGTGATCAGTGTGCTGCAGACTTCGACTTCTACTGCTCTAACACCTTTGAAGATCATTTTCAGTAAAGAAAGAATTGTTGGGCACCTCTGTTGCACTGAATCACACTGAATATTGCACACGCTTCCTTATTATTTGGGCTGGACACCCAAAGCACATTTTCCATTGTGTAGACACGGCCTTTCTCTTCCCTTTGTTTACAAATCAAACAGACAAGATAGACAAGGAGAATAATAAAAGACACACAAAGAGGGAAGGTGACTTATCCAAAGTCAAACAGGCCGTTGGCAATGTTGGAAACAAACTAGGGCAAAGGCAGCCAACGTGGTGACTGTGGGCGCACATGTGCCCCCAGAGCCTTCCCTGGAGCCCACAGTGTCCCCTCCTCCCACTGAAGTTAGTCTTGAAATTAACTGTTGTAACCAAAAGAATAGATGGCTGTGTGTGCTTGGTTGATGTGTGGTGTGGTGCCTAGGAGAATTTCTCCAGGTTGGAAATGCACCTACAGACCCAAAAAAGGTTGGCAAACCCTGGACTGCCTGCTGAGGGCCTGAAGGACCCCGCCCTTGCCTCTTTCCATCTGGCTTGGGGCGGGGCTTGACAGGCTTCACAAGGACTGCACCTGCACCTTAGCACCAAGAGCTCCTCTTTTAAACTGTTTTTAATTTTTATCTGTGTTGTTTTAAATAAGAACGTCTTGGCTGTGAGCCCTGGAAGACCTGCACCCTGCCTTACTGGCCCCTTTCCCATCTGACCTGGGAGAGTGAAGTGCGGACTGACTCCAGCTACAAAAGCTGTGGCTGTTGAACAGATTCCTGGGCTGGAGTATTGTTTACGGGGGGTTGAGAGAGCTATTGCTGTTATTGATATTATTGTTGTATCTTTAGTTTTAGATCTTATGATTTGTGTGGAAATTGTTTCCATTGGGTTGTGTATTTTTGACGTGTTTTATTGTTTATGACTTCTGTTATGTTTGTAATTATGTAGATCTTGTCATGTTGTAAGCCGCCTTAATCATAGTTTTAACTATGGAAAGACGGCATACAAATAAAATGATGATAATGTTGATGATGATGATAGATTAGGACAGTTCATATTAAGAGCAGGGCACAATGGTTTTCAGTCCGAGGGTGATTAACCCTTGGTACATGGAGGTGGAATTCTCCATCAGTTGCACAAGGTGACAATAGTTTTCTCTTCACCACAGTCCTCACTCCAGTGAAATCTCGTTCAGTGTACTTGGTTTTCTTTATTTTATGTATTTAAGGAAGACCATATACTTCAATAATACACAAGAATAATGAAAGACAAGCAGAATTAAAATTAAAAACACACAATACAAATGTGGGTAATTTTGTTCACAGTCCCTGTGAAAAACCATAATTATTTTATTTATAAATATCAGGATATTTTCCTTGATGTATTATGACAGTCTCACTTAAAACTGAAAAGTTACTAATTCCTATTTTCCAGCAATAGCTATGGACCAGATTTGACTGTACCATAAATTTGATCCCTCTAAATATTTTCTTGCAATAACCATCCTGACAGCAAACAGTAATTAGAGAATCTATTCTTTATTCAAACCATCTGCATTTGGCCCCATCCCATGTCGCCAGTAATGCTAACAAAGGGGTTGGTATCAATTCTTCCTTTGTTATTAGATTAACTGCTAGGAACACCACCTCTCTCAAAACTGCCAATCAGTGACACTCCCACCATACATGTAAATATGTGCCTTTATGTTATCAAACTTGGTTTTCTGATTGTGTTTTTAGGATGTTGACGCATCCTACATGAACAAGGTGGAGTTGGAGGCCAGGGTGGATGGAATGACTGATGAGATAAACTTCCTGAGGGCACTCTATGAAAATGTAAGTAAACTTCTCTATGCTCTTTCCACCATTTAGGATACCCTTTTCCAATCTATTGCACTCCAGATGTTGTTGGATTCCAACTCACATCAGCCTCCCAGCTAGCATGGCCAATGGTCAGGGGTGACAGGAGTTGTAGATCAAAATAGCTGGAGGGCACTAGGATGGTGAAGGTCTCTGCGGTTCTCCGGAGTTTCACACGGTAGCCTTTCCTAGCCCTACCTGGAGATACCATGGATTGAACGCTGGAAGCTTCTGCAGATGAAGCAGGTGCCACCTTCCCAAATTGAGCTCTTAAAACGGGAGGGAATATTTTTGCTCAGCCCTGACTTAAATATTCTAACACTGGTTAGGAAAAAGAAAAGAACATGGTTATGTTTGCATTAGTCCTTTCAAGGAACCAAATATACCCATCAATAAGGCATGAAAGAATGTTTGAAGACTTTAATGATGAAGACGATCAATGCTCTTAAAGGCCAAATGCAAATGTAACAAGTAGACATTGTTTCCTTTTTGAACCATGAAGGTAAAACCTAAATGCCCCAGATGGGTGGGTAGAAATTTTCAGCAGAAGCTTTGCTTGTTCTTCAAACAGCAAAAAACTGTTTTAGACTTGTGGTTAGGAGCCATGTTTCGCAGGATCATGGTTGATCCCGCCATTTCGATAGGAGGACCAATGTGCCATTTGCATGGGGCTCCATGCAAAGACACATGAAGGGTTAGGGTTAAAAGGCTTTTATGAACAGCAGCACTTTGTTCAAAATGAGAATGATCAAGTCTAAAGAAATTTAGACCGGAAAATCCAGGTGCAATATATGCTGCTATATAAGCCACTGAATGCAAATGATGGCTATTTGTTCTCTGTGATGAAAGCAACAAACATTGAAGGCATATCATTCTAGTCATCTGTATTTACTTTTTGTTGTGCTCACAACAAAAAAGTATTGTTAAGTAATGTATTGTAGCGAAGAAGACAATTAGCCCTTGCTTAGCATATCCGGTTGGTTTCCTCACATGTTTCTCATCTGCAGCAGATGAAAGTCAAAAGGAGTTTGCAGGTCTTGTTGGTTTAATGACTTAATATTGATATTCTTGTGGCAGGATGAACTCAGTATAGGCCACGTTGCAGGAACGGGGGGAGATAATACCTTTGAGCCTGTACCAGTTGATAATTGAAACTGGTGTCTGGGCTTCAGTGGGACATTTGTCCCCATTATTCTCTGTGCATGGTAAGCCACATAACCAATAAAGATGCAATAATGGTTTATCTGGATATTAAGTCCACCATTTTGCAGCAACTTTAAAATTTTGCATGCAAGCAGCTATGTTAACCTTGTGGTGAACTGAACAGATGAATCAGTCAGTTATCACCACAGGCACCCCAAAAGGGAAGTTAAAGTTGGTGTGCTGAAATTGGTACATTTTGAGTTATAATTTGAACGAGAGGGTGTTCATGGTGTTGTTGGACTTCAACTCCCATCAACGTCAGTCAGCATGGCTAATGGTCAGGGATGATGAGAGCTGTAGTCCAGCAACATTTGGAGGACCTACCTGTGCTTTAAGAGTTGGTTCCAGATTCTCCCCCAGGTGGAATAAGGATTACCCTGGAAAATGGTGGGTTCCAAATCTGCTCCTGATATCATTCTGTGTCAATGGAACCTGGGTTAAATTGGCACACACTTTCACATGACCATTAATTCTGGCAAAAGTGGGGAACTATTCAGTGATTTGCAGGGGCAAGGAAAATGTGGTAGCAGAGTGCCCTTCCTCCCTTTCAATACTGCCACTAAGAAATACCCTTAAGACTTTAAATGCAAATTGAAAATAAGCCAAGGGAGATGAAAATGATAGAGGATGGGATTCCCTTAACACGTCCTGTCAGCAGAAGCCTTGTGTAAGGTCTTCTGCTTGCACAACAGGGCTTCCCCCCTCCCACTGCATGCCTGCTGAAATTGCCTGGGGTGTGTGTGTGTCTCTCCCTCTACCTGCCAGACTTTAATTTTGTTACTCATAAACCCTAATGGTTCCTGATCTGAAGGAAAGGCAGGATGTTAAGAAGGATAACAGACAATGAATGCGCGTCTCTTTAATTTTCCAGGAACTGCGTGAGCTGCAGAACCAGATCTCAGATACTTCTGTGGTGCTTCAGATGGACAACAACCGAAACCTGGACTTGGATAGCATCATTGCTGAAGTCAAAGCTCAGTATGAGGAGATTGCCAATAAGAGCAGGATTGAGGCAGAAAGTTGGTATCAAAGCAAGGTGAGCCATGATGGCAAAGATGAACTCATTAAGAATCAACTGTTTGGGGATATGAATAATATCCTCCCATAATGAGTTGGCTACCAATTACAGTCTTGACTAATGAGAAGTCAATGTCATTTCATATTTGCTGCATTCCCTGATTTGATCTTGAAAGGAGACACCCCCCCCACAATGATCACACCTACCTTTTAAAGCCTCCAGGACTTCTATAATGGAAGTGCATAGTTCCAAGCTCTCTGATCTGCCCATTGTGATGTCATAATTTCCACCTTAACCAATTGTTCCTCATCCTCCTCTGCATTGTGTTATTGTGTGATGCCTGTTGGCTAATGCATTCAGGATGCTTCACACAAATAATCAAAGAGACAGATGAACTGATCATTGTAACAATGAAAGGATAACATCATTTTTGTAATCTCTGTACTCATTTTCCTCTTTCCACAAACACGTTAACTCTTCCTGAGTGCATACAATAGGTTGCATTCACTGCAGTAATAAGCAAAAAATTTCCATCAGTGCAAATTTCCCCTTGTGCAACAGAATGCTCTCTCCCTCTCCTCCCCCTGTGCCCACCCCCTAGACTTGGCAATGGTGCCAGGAGAAATCCTCTTGCACTAGCACATTATTTAGTTAAATGCCGCCCTATAGGTACCATGTGTCTTTGGCACTGGCCCTGTCACCAGAAAGAAGAGCCTGTGGTGAGGAAGGGAGACTGTTTTGCTGCAACAAATCCCACCTGCACCTTCAACAGCATCTCTCCTCTCTGTTAATCGCAGTATGAAGCCCTGCAAGCCAGTGCTGGGAAGCATGGCGATGACCTGCGGAGCACGAAGAACGAGATTGCTGAGATTAACCGCACAATCCTGAGACTGCAGGCTGAGATTGAGAATGTGAAAAATCAGGTGAGTAGCTGGAAAGAACTCTTTGTGGGGTTTTCCGTGATACAACACACACACACTGACTTAAATGAATTATGGGGATGTCCCTGCATAGGCTAACAGGCCCTACTCCCCACATCTCTTGTGACTTTGTGCTTCTATAATTGCCAACTTGGTGTGTGTGTGTGTGTGTGTGTGTGTGTGTGTGTGTGAGAGAGAGAGAGAGAGAGAGAGAGAGAGAGAGAGAGAGTTCCCTTTCCTCCACCCCTGGAAGAAACTGATGCCCCCCTCAAGAACAGGGGTCAGCAAACTTTTTCAGCAGGAGGCCAGTCCACCGTCCCTCAGACCTTGTGGGGGGCTGGACTATATTTTGAAAAAAGAAGAAGAATGAATTCCTATGCCCCACAAATAACCCAGAGATGCATTTTAAATAAAAGGACACATTCTACTCATGTAAAAAGAGGCTGATTCCTGGACCGTCCACGGGCTGGATTTAGAAGGCGATTGGGCCAGATCCAGCCCCCGGGCCTTTGTTTGCCTACCCGTGCTCAAGAACTGTAATTTCAGTTTAAAGTTGTGGGTTTCTCATTAACAGGCATTGCATTGGCCACTATATAAGGTAGCCTTTTGGCCTGATCCTGCAGGTCTCCTATGAATGTTTGCTCCATGACAGTTCTGGCCAGGAACTTTACTACTCTTTCCTTCTGTCTTCTGTCAATCATTGGCGGTTCGCTGAGTGGAGGACATGTTGGTTTTTTGTATTTTTTTAAACGTACAGTAATTGTGTACCCGCAAGGACTAGATATTTCATGATGAATTAACCAGAAAGCTTGCTTGCTCAAAAGCTGGGGAGATAAGCCATTGTGAATCACTCCCCATAGTGTTCGTTTGACTTTAGGGCAGGGCGGCTCCAGCAAACATCCACACCGAAGCAAACTGTGAGACCCAATTCACCACCTCTGAATAATGAATGGAAGCCCAGATGCTCAGCAATACGCCCTTCCTCTCCTTTATATTTGCATTGCACACTTTACATTGCATTACAGGAGAGTCTAGTACTGATAACAGAGCAATGGGAGCGCAAGAAATAAATGAGTCATTGGCAGCAATGCAGTTGGCTAGTCATCTTAGTCTCAGTCATCTTTGCCTCCTACAAGCAGCAATCTGATTGTAAGCAGTTGTTGCAGCATGGACATGCACTCCCCTGTTGCAATATATATTGTTATGAACCAAGTATTGTTGTAAATAAAAATATGCCCTTTTCCCTTATGGGGTATCCAAGAGCCCATATAGAGTCCTTACATAGGTTCCCTATTGGTAGGAGAAAATAACAGAGGCCAACCAGAGAATATTGAGAAGCAAAGCAGCTAGTAAGCTTGATCTTTATTGATCTGTTGCAACAGGGTACTCCCCTCACACGCAGGAGAGCAGGAGGACCCCCAAAAATGCTGTGCAAGGGCTTATAAAGACTTTTGAAATTCCCATCCTCTAGATCAAGACCACCCCCAGAAACATTATGCATTCATCACAGAAGGGGTGTAACCTAAGACCACCCCTCAGATAAGGCGGTCTAAAACAGAACATTTGCATGTTGTTTTCTCCTGTCGCTTTATTTATTTCCTGTCTGGCAGGTTACTTGATTGGATTTCTTGGGGAGCCTTGGCAGTCTTTTGTAATGATAAGGCTCACACCCTTATTCAAACACAGATTAAGACAGGATTTGTGAAGGAAGAGACAATGGGGAGGCTTTTCCATTTTTACCATGCAGAGAAACATTTGCTCAGTTTAGGAATCAAAATGGTTCCAGGTTGGCCTTCCTGTGTTGATCTATGTACGTGTGGTTATGAACGTTGCCATATATCTAAAACCATAAAATTCCTATCACATTATCCAAGTATCAAAAGTCAATTAAGTCAGGACTGTCTGAGGTGTTAGCCCGGGGTAACGAGCCATTAGCACAACAAAGGGAAATTTTAGCAGGCAACAATAAGGTAAAGGTAAAGGGATCCCTGACCATTAGGTCCAGCTGTGGCCGACTCTGGGGTTGTGGCGCTCATCTCGCTTTATTGGCCGAGGGAGCCAGCGTTTGTCCGCAGACAGCTTCCAGGTCATGTGGCCAGCATGACCAAGCTGCTTCTGGCGAACCAGAGCAGCACACGGGAACACCGTTTACCTTCCTGCCAGAGCAGTATCTATTTATCTACTTGCACTTTGATGTGCTTTCGAACTGCTAGGTTGGCAGGAGTGCAGGCAAGAATAGGTGGGACCTATTTATCACAGATAAAGCCAAGAGCAATGTGGATTGGCAGTGCCAGATTTACGTATAAGCTAAACAAGCTGTAGCTTAGGGTCCCACTCTCTTGGCCCCCCCCCCCAAAAAAAAATTAAAGGAAAAAAACCTGGATGTACATTTCCAAAATATAAGATAAAAAACAAATAAAATAAAACCTACATACAGCAACAGTGTTTTGTGTTGTGTAGGCTCCTATGATGTACATATTTTGTTATGCGCAAATGGCTTTAGATATCTATTAGGTCCATAAATTACCATATAGCATATATTCAACACAAAAAACAGTGACAATTCGTTGTTGAGAAAGGACAGCTGGACATATAAAGGGCCCCATTACCTTCAGTAGCTTAGGGCAGGCATAGGCAAACTTGGCCATCCAGATGTTTGGGGACTACAGTTCCCATAATCCCTGACCACTGGTCCTGTTAGCTGCTCACTGCTGTGGAGACTGGAACAGGTGGCATGTAGCAATAGGAGGCCACTTTGCATTATCATACGACAGGCCCATCTAGGCCAGTGCTTTCCATTCTGTCAGGTGGTTAGAGTGACCGTATGTCCCAAGTTGCAGAAGGGAGTCTTGTGTTTGTCGAACTGTACAACCCAAGTCAAGTTGAAAGAGAAAGAGCCCTGAACAGGGAGGGGACACGAAGTTGCCCACCCACATTTAGTGCCAGGACAGCAGGCTGAGCGGGCGCACACTGGTAACCCAGCCACAGTCGTCCCTACAATGGTGAGCTATGCATACCAATTAGCATGCCAATCCATGCGCTCTTTTCTCCTCGCTCTATGGAGAGGCTTGTGAGCCCACCCTACTGGCAGTGGTTCTCCATGCTCTCAGGCAGAGGGTCCTTCTGGTTACCTGATTAGTGACCATTTTGACTGGAGATGTCACTGGGGGTTGAACCTGGAACCTTCTGCATGCAATTCATACCCTCTGCCATTTGGGCTGCTCTTTCTCCTTTGGGGCAGAGAGATGGAGAGGCAGGACTTCTGAACAATCTTATACCTTGGTTTTTTCCTCCAGCGTGCTAAACTCGATGCTGCCATTGCTGAGGCAGAGGAACGTGGGGAGATGGCTATCAAAGATGCCAAGGCCAAGCTAGCAGAGCTGGAGGCTGCTCTCAACAAAGCCAAACAAGAGATGGCCCGCCAGCTGAGGGAGTACCAGGAGCTGATGAATGTCAAACTGGCCCTGGATATTGAGATTGCCACCTACAGGAAGCTGCTGGAAGGAGAGGAGAGCCGGTGAGTGCCAGATGCCATGCTCAAATCATCTAACCTCTTCACTAGGGCTGCAATGTTTGATCCATCAATTGGTTAGCCTCAACTGGGCTGCATCCAGCTAGGTCCTGCTCAGCAGACCCATTCAAATGAATGGATCTCGGTTAGTCACGATCATTCATGTTAATGTGTCTCCTCTGGGTATTACTGTTATGGGATAAAACCCATTGTTTATTTTAAAAGCAATAAGCTAAAGAGGTGTTCCCAAGCAGCAAATTTTTAAAATAGATAATTGCTTTTTAAAACATGTACTTTTAAAGCAGTGCAGGTGGCGTGCCCTGTAAGATCTTAGGAGGGCATCACCCTATTTTAATGTCTTGCGTAGCTGCTGTCTGCTCTAGTGCAGGCACACATCATCCAAAAGCAAAGTTTGCTTCTTGCGTTCAAACTGTTGGTTTTACCCATTTGCAAATTCACACAAATGTGACAAAAAATTGTAAGGTTGCCTGGCTGAGATCTCTTGATTTGGGACAGGACTGTTCTTTACCCACTGTGCTTCCACAGTTCACATGCCACTAAGTGACAGTGGTTGGAAAGGCTTGTGTAAGCTGATTCCAAATATTATTACTTCAATTTTACCTTTCCACTTGCAGGCCATTTGCCCAAGCTGGTTGGCACTGGAAAGAGAAGATTGGAGGGCTAAGTGGACTTGTAGCCTGGTCCAGCAGGGAGGTTCCAAATGGTTCCCCCCAGGACTGGAACGTGTCCATTAATTATCAGTCGCTATTTACAGGCACACAGCTGTCTCTTTTGAATATTTTATATAGACAACCATTTATTTTGTGTTCCCTTTCTGTTGCCAAGATCTATAATCCTTCAGGCATTAAAAGTTAAGAACTTAATGGAGCTCTTGATTTCTTTTCTCAATAGGCTGGCTGGTGATGGAGTTGGTTCTATGAGCATGAGTAAGTTTGTTTTTCCCACCTCCTCTCTCCCTTCCTTTCCCCTTCTACCACAATTGTTTGTAATACATCTGGACTATTTGGCAAGCACAGCCTACTGTAAGCACTGCTTAGCAGATAGAGAAGTGGTAGAATCTTAATACATATGCGATATGTGTGTATTAATATGAATATACACAAGTATAATGCAGTATCAGGTCTGACTCTTTTATACATATAACCATATAATTTTAATGCAAATTATTTTGTGTATAATTAAGTTGGGCAAACCAAACCAAAAATGCACAAAACATTTGGACATAAGCGGTTGCTCAATATAAGAATTGACTCAATGTGAGCAAAGCTTGATCTGGTCAGAACCACCAAATTCTGTGTATAAAACTATTTACAATATATTCCTCCTCCATCATTAGGGGTTCTGCAGTTACAGGGGAGATTCCCATCTTTGCTACCTGGTAGGAGTGTCAGTTGGCCATGGGTGGCGCTGTGGTCTAAACCACAGAGCCTAGGGCTTGCCAATCAGAAGGTTGGTGGTTCAAATCCCCGCGAAGGGGTGAGCTCCCGTTGCTCAGTCCCTGCTCCTGCCAACCTAGCAGTTCGAAAGCACATCAAAGTGCAAGTAGATAAATAAGTACCGCTCCAGCGGGAAGGTAAACGGCGTTTCTGTGCACTGCTCTGGTTCGCCAGAAGCGGCTTAGTCATGCTGGCCACATGACCCGGAAGCTGTCCATGGACAAACACCAGCTCCCTCTGCCACTAAAGTGAAATGAGTGCCACAACCCCAGAGTCGTCCACGACTGGACCTAACGGTCAGGGGTACCTTTACCTTTAGGAATGCCAGTTGGGGCCTAGATTGCTATTGAAATGAATAGCATATAACCACAATCAGAAATGTTTGTAACGGGCAGTTGCTGCTGAGCCCTAGTTAATAAACCCATTCCATGTTATTGGAAACAGTCCCTTGTTATTGGAAATTCATTTCCCCAAAAAGAGGCCACACTGTTACTGTATCAAAGCTTAATACGTGGTTTCCCTGGTGTCCTACAGCTGTGCTCAACTCCAGTTCTGGTGGCTCCTATGGCAGCGGAGGTGGCTATGGTTTCGGAGGAGGAATCGGCTTGGGAAGTGGAATGGGCAGCGGCGGAGGCCTCAGCTTCTCCTCTGGAGGTGGCTCAGGTGCCGTGAAATCAACGTACAGCGTGACAAGCACATCCAGACGAAGTGTCAGAAACTAAGCTCAGAAAACCAAGGTCATCACTGCCTGAACACATCTCCATTCCCCCCACCCCTTCCCCCAGAACAGAGGTAGATAAAGTAAAGAAGAGATAGGGAAGATGAGATCATTATCTCCCAAGAACCAAACTGGCTGCTAAATCCAGCAGTAATGAATGAAATGATGGTGCCATATTCTGCAAGTGCATTATCCCACCTCCCACATCAACAGCCTAAATCAGGGATGAGGAACCTCCAGCCAGATTTGGCTCATGAGCAGCGGCGTAGCGTGGGTTGTCAGCACCCGGTGCAAGGCAAGTAATTTGCGCCCCCTAACCCGGGGCAAGGCAAGTAATTTGCGCCCCCTAACCCCTAACCTGCCGCCGCTGCCAGCTTCTTCTTGCTGCTGCCTGGTCTGGTCTGGTGTGGTTCTCTCCTGCGCTCAGCGCTGCGCTGGGCAGCCGCTGCACTGTCCCTCCCCCAGATAGTCCCTCGCTCTCTCTCCGCACCGCACGCCTGGCACCCACCCCCTCCACAGTGGGCGGCGACCCAGCGGCTCGGATCGGATTCGCACAGCCAGCACTGCAGTGAGAGAGAGTGAGTGAGCCAGGTAGGGGCAGAGAGCTGCGAGTGCGAGCGCGCCCCCCCAGATGTTGCGCCCGGTGCGGCCGGCACCCCCTGCACCCCCCACGCTACGCCACTGCTCATGAGACCCTTTTCCCCAAAACCATGTCCACCTGCCCTACATCAGACATTGTATGTGATGTCAGATTTGGCCCAGGTAGCAACATGGTTGGCTCAGCTGCTCACGCAGCCTGTCCTTGCAGAAAGCAGGATTGAACTCCTCGTAAACCAGCTGATGCCTTGAGTCCTGCTTGGTTCAAGTCTGCAAGAGGGTTCCCTATGGGCAGCTCTCTTGGGCATCTGAACCCAAATCAGGACTGAATTGCCCGCTCATCAGCTGATGTGCAGGGAGTCCAGTCCTGCTCTGTTGCTATCTTACCCCAAAGTTCCACGGACTAACTTTGTCAGGGAACACCCACCTGTCAAAGTTGGCCTGTAGGATGGTGGGAGATAAAGATCTGGCCTGTTGAACCAAAATGGTTCTCCAGTCCTCTAGGTGTTGTGGACTACAGCTCCCATCAGCCCCAGCAAGTATAGCCAATGAATTCTAGAGAGTTCCCCATTCCTGCACTTTTGAAACAAGTATACTTATAGTGCACTGCTATTATGGGGTGGCTCCACAGGTTCCCCATCCCTGGCTTAAATTGTGGTGCTGCTCCCATTGAGATCAAGGGGAGTTTTGCTGTTGGTTTAACTGAGAGCGAAGTATAATTGGAAAACGAAATTCCAAACTATACCAGCAATTTCCATGTCCTCTGTTTTGGAAGCAGAAATCGATTCCCACCCTCTCCCAATTTTCTTAGGGAGGAAAATGTGGAAGTCACAAAAAATAAAATTCTTCTCTGAATGATATTCTGTTTCGTGATGGCTTTTTCCTCCTACTCCACATTGTAGTCACAAACTACTTAAGAGTATCCAGTTCTCACATGGTGCCACATGTTCTCACATTCTGCTTTTTAAAAAAAATCATGGATTTCAAACAGAAAGAATTATTGGTTTGCATGCTTAATATCTCCAGTTAAACAGGACCACTGAGGATACCTGGCCTACTTGTGACATTTCATATATATCATTGCAGGAATCCTTACAACCCCCCTGCGAAATAGGCCAATATTATTATTCCCATATTTCAGAAGGAGGATTGAGACAAGAAGGTAGTAGCTTGATTAAAAGTCAAAATAGTGCTTGGGATAGTGGGCGATAGGATAAAGTACATTGTTTTGATAGGTGGGTTATGGGTATAATTAATAGGATAAGGACTGAGAATAGAAGGGCTAGAACGCCACCTAGTTTATTAGGGATTGAGCGAAGGATTGCGTAAGTTTAATATGTGTTGGGGTAACTGGGGGTTTGCAGGGGAGAAGTTTTCTGGGTTTCCTAGAAGATTTGGTGAAAAAAGAGTTAGGAAGAGGAGGCATGATAATATTATTAAAGCACCTAAAAGGTCTTTGTAGGAATAGTAGGGGTGAAATGGAATTTTATCTGTGTTAGAGTTGAGACCTGTGGGGCTGTTTGAGCTTGTTTCATGGAGAAAGAGTGAGTGGACTATTGAGGTACCCATAATAATAAAGGGCAGTATAAAGCATGGGTAGGCAAACTAAGGCCCGGGGGCCGGATCCGCCGAATCGCCTTCTAAATCTGGCCCGTGGACGGTCCGGGAATCAGCGTGTTTTTACATGAGTAGAATGTGTCCTTTTATTTAAAATGCATCTCTGGGTTGTTTGTGGGGCATACGAATTCGTTCATTTCCCCGAAAACATATAGTCCGGCCCCCCACAAGGTCTGAGGGACAGTGGACCGGCCCCCTGCTGAAAAAGTTTGCTAACCCCTGGTATAAAGTGAAGGGTAAATAATTGAGTTGTGGTTGCATTGTCTACTGCAAATCTGCCTCACACCCACTTACAAGAGGCCAAGGTGGGGTGGGGTATGGAGAGCAAGGCACAGCAAGCCCTGCATGGTGTAGGTACGGTGTTAGAGCCAATCTGATGCTCCTGCCACTGTGTCCACACCACGCTGAACTCCTCACCCCTCTCGCTCTCCATAAGAGCCAGTGATGCTCAGCATCAGGAAGCCAGGCATTCAGCACCACTGCCAACCCCACCCCACCAACTGCGACTGCCCAATGGTCTCCTTATGAGCTTGCGGCTCATATCTGGGAATCTAATTGCAAGCCTTTGTTTGGCAAGTGGGGAGCCAATTACATTGGTACCTTGGTTCTCAAACGTAATCCGTTCCGGAAGTCTGTTCCAAAACCAAAGCATTCCAAAACCAAGGCGCGCTTTCCCATAGAAAGTAATGGATCAATCTGTTCCAGACTTTTGAAAACAACCTCGAAAATAGCCATTTAACATGAGTTTTACCATCTAACGAGACCATTGATCCATAAAATGAAAGCAATAATCAATGTACTGCCGTCACATAATCAATTGGTAGCTGAACTGGGTTCCACACAGTCACAAAAACAAAACAAAAAAGAGCCACAAAAGCAAAAATGCAAAATGAATAGCAAAAACAGACAGACCTCAGCGTAACACTCAAAATGGAAGTGTGGCACTCAAAACAGAGCATGTTCAGCTTCTGAAAAAAGTTCGCAAACCAGAACACTTACTTCCTGGTTTGTGGTCTTTGGGTTCCAAGTTGTTTGAGTACCAAGGTGTTTGAGAACCAAGGTGCCACTGTAATATCAAACTTGCTACACGGTGTGAGAAGGATTTCAGGCCAGAGCACACCAGCTTTTATGTTTATTAAACTTGTAAATTTAGAACTTTGTTTTGCAGGCTCTAACATGCTAGGATTACTTCACCATCCTTACCTATGCCTCTTGCCTCTACCTGGGGGCCTGGAGATGTGGGGAGAATCGTGCTGATACTAATGACAATGCAATTATTACATTTAAAACTTGTGTGAAAGCTGGGAAAGGCAACTGAGATAATTTTTGTTGTCATCCTGCTTCTGCTGCCCCCCCCCTCTTGGATAATCATAGAAGGATCATAGAATCACAGAGTTGGAGTCATCTAGTCTAACCCCGTCCAAACACACAGTCCCCCATCCAATTTGAAACCATACTGGACCCTGCTTAGCTGTGCAAATGTGCCAGCAGTTTTACTGCAGCACCACTAGTGCTGGTGGCACATATGGAAGCAGAAGTAGCCCCAACACAGCTGTATGCCAGGATGCTGTAAGCAACTCCCGGCTGGTTGCCCAGGAAAGTATATAGACAAGGGAATGTTTCTTACCATCCTTTTTAATTTGATATTTACAGAGAGAGGCTATAGAAGCAAAACGGTTGCTTCTGTCTCACGGGTAGGTCAGCTCTAGCCATGCTATCTGGGGCTGATGGGAATTGTAGTCCAATTGGGCCTATTTACAGTGGTCATACAACAAGGACTGGGCAGGGGGAGGTGCTGTGTTGCCCATCCCCCTGCCCAGTCCTTGTTGTATGCACTGATGTACGAAGGGGGGGGCAGGGGAGCGCACCGCCCCGGGGACCATTTGTGGCAAGGGTGGCATTGTGGCCACCCCCCAGGACGCACGCCGCATGCCACACCCTCCCGGGACGCACGCCACGCAACCCTGGATGTGTGCCATACCCCCACGGGCACCGCACCACTCCCCTGCACCGCTCGCCACACCCCCATGGGCACCACGCCACACCTCCTGGGATGCGCGCCAACCACACCCCCACCTGTTCTCTGCTCTGGGGGCTGCAACATGCCCATCAGAGGACTGGCTAGGTCTCACCCAACTATGATTTAGCAGCAAACCACAGTTGTACCTTGGGTTAAGAACTTAATTCGTTCTGGAGGTCTATTCTTAACCTGAAACCACTTTAGCTAATGGGGCTCCCCGCTGCCGCCATGCCGCTGTTGTGTGATTTCTGTTCTCAGCCTGAAGCAAAGTTCTTAACCCGAGGTACTATTTCTGGGTTAGTGGAGTCTGTAACCTGAAGCGTCTGTAACCTGAAGCATCTTTAACCCGAGGTACCACTGTACTCTTGAACAAAGGTTGGAAATAATTTCAGGGACAGCAAATTGCTTTGGAGTCTCTGGACTTGGGGAGGGAACCCAGCAGATATAGCATGGATCATAGGTTGCAGCAGTGTCAGGAGTTGCTGAAAGATAATTTTTAGGGCCAGATGTGTCTTTGGTCCTATTAGCAGCGCTCTTATGTCTAGAACCTGCCACCTTCTTTGTGTTAATTCTGCTTGTTCTGTGCTTGCCTTTCCCACCCATATATGACAATCTCTGTTCCAAGACTGTGTGAGAGATTTGGGTGAGAAAAGTTCCTAATTGCTGTATGTGCCAGCATAACTCTCTGCTTAGCACCATTGCTTTGTCCTTACTTGTTTCCTTTGCATTCCTGCCAAGAAAATTTGCAAGGCACCGAGTCAAAAGAAAATGAGAAAATCGCTTGGAAAGCTGCTTCCTAGACCAGACGTGTTCTTCTTCCCCTCAGCCAATTTCATTCCCATGATTTTAGCATAAGAGATCCTGATTTCATCCAACTGTGTAATTAGAAATGTTTACAAAATAACTATCACTCAGCCAGTCATTTGGGCTTCGGTATTTTGAGTCCAGGACTGGTAGATATTGTACACAACAAACTGTTCCACACATCGCAGTCTCCAAGCGATGGAAAGCTCCATGGGCTCCAGCTTTTACCCAGGGTTCCCTTTCCTTGGAATGAAAGTCAACGGAGACTGTGGCATCTTTGGGATGTATCATTTTATTTACACGTTAGGGGCTCCCCCTCCTGCTTGTTCCACTCTAGTACAACCACTAGAGGTCACACCTCTAAATTTGGCCAGGCTTCAGAACACACAGGTGTTTTGTGATATTCATCTGCAGACTGATAAAATGGTGGCTGCCCTAGAATCTCATTTCAACAACGTGTTAAAACCCCCCCAGATATTTCCTCTGACAGTCATGAAATATTTTGCTCCCAGGACAAACTGCTCTGGATCGGCTCCAGAACATAAAACCATGTACAATATTTAGAAAAGGATATATTGCGAGCCTAGGACTTGCCGATCAGAAGGTCGGCGGTTCGAATCCCCATGACGGGGTGAGCTCCCGTTGCTCGGTCCCTGATCCTGCCAACCTAGCAGTTCGAAAGGACGTCAAAGTGCAAGTAGATAAATAGGTACCGCTCCGGCGGGAAGGTAAACGGTGTTTCCGTGCGCTGCTCTGGTTCGCTAAAAGCGGCTTAGTCATGCTAAGCTCCCTTGGCCAATAAAGTGAGATGAGCGCCGCAACCCCAGAGTCAGTCACGACTGGACCTAATGGTCAGGGGTCCCTTTACCTTTACCTTTATATTGCATTCAGTTTCCATTTGCATCTAATCTGACCTTTTCTCCTGTGAGGTCAGGCAGCATACATAGGAGTCATCAAAACAAGAACCCTGAGAGGTCAGTTGGGTCTAGTGAAACTATTATTTGCTCAAGGCCAGTATATTTCAGGAACTGCTAAAGAAGAGGGATTAGCAAGGGTTGGGGCAGCCTGTAGCTTCCCAGATCTTAGTTATGTTGGCTGGGGCTGATGGGATTTCGATTTCAATCACATGTGGAAGTCCATAGGTTTTACACCTCTGGGTTAGATTTCCCTCTATTCTGCTTTTCTTTCTTCATTGAATTCTTCACTTCATCCTGTAAATTCAGATTTAACCAGGAAGAATTCTTAAAATAATTCAGGAACTGATGCATGTGTGGTTTGTCACATTGTTTGTTTGCTTCTCAGGTGGGATTTTGCACCTTCAATAGTTGTAGAACGGAGGGTATTTCAGCAGATGTAATTTACATAACCATCGCATTTTGTATCTGGCCGTCATATCTTTGCATTATTTCTCCCCTCTGCAATAGCATCAAAATCCTCATTGTACCACATTCTACTCATGCAGAAACTCATGCTTGCTTGCTTGCTAGTAAAACCGCAAGCCACAAAAAGAATTTCATCACATCAATAGGAGTTTGTGGCAGTGCTTTTTATCCAGGTCCACAAGCATACCTTAGGGCCCTTAGTCATCTTTTTTTCTAAACAAATCACACACACACACACACACACACACACACATTTAAATGCTTTATCCTTCCCTTTATAGGGGCAATAGTCTGGCAATAATGAAGAGGGGGGGAAACATGGAGTCCCTCAAACCATTTTTTATTTTTTTATTTTTTTTATGCTCAGCACAATCCATTTATTAGAAACAGAATTCCAAAACAGGATGGAAAACAAAATGCATGCAGAAATGTATTATACAGAAGCACTTAGGGCAGTCAGTTGGAGGTAGAATGGCACACTTGTCTCATTATGCACATTGCAGGGCAGAGATGGAGAACCCATAGCCCTCGAATTGTAATTGGATGCCAATTCCCATCAGCCCCAGTGGGCAAAGACAGTGGGAGCTGCAGTCCAGCAACATCTGGAAGGCCATAAGTTTATCCATCCTTGTTACAGGGAATGAAAATTGATCATTCTTCTATGTTAATGCCAGTTGCAATATTTAGAAAAGAACATGTATGTTTTCTGTTGTCTTTGTCCATGGAGGTCTTTTTTTGTTAAAGCTATGGTTTTCCCAGTAGTGATGCATGGATGATGTATGGAAGTGAGAGCTGGACCATAAAGGCTGATCGCCGAAGAATTGATGCTTTTGAATTATGGTGCTGGAGGAGACTCTTGAGAGTCCCATTGACTGCAAGAAGATCAAACCTATCCATTCTGAAGGAAATCAGCTCTGAGTGCTCACTGGAAGGACAGATCCTGAAGCCGAGGCTCCAATACTTTGGCCACCTCATGAGAAGAGAAGACTCCCTGGAAAAGACCCTGATGTTGGGAAAGATGGAGGGCACAAGAAGAAGGGGACGACAGAGGACAAGATGGTGGACAGTGTTCTCAAAGCTACCAACATGAGTTTGACCAAACTGCGGGAGGCAGTGGAAGACAGGAGTGCCTGGTGTGCTCTGGTCCATTGGGTCACGAGGAGTCGGACACAACTAAAAGACTAAACAACAACAACAACAACAACAACATGTATGTTTTCACCCACACAGGAGTTTCTGGCCATCTTTATACTTAATCACAAGTATTATGTCCTGGAAAGACAAGCTCTTTGATCAGGTTTGGGCTTCAAGTGATTATTTTGGCTGGTAGGAGCGCAGAGACTGAAACCACACAGCCATACTGACAGGTTAACGGAGACACTGCCATCCAACAGCAAGAGGAGGGTGAAAATTGCAAAATAGCTCCCAGTATCCATAGATGGTACAGCTGTGTTCTGTGGACCTAAGCCAATTTTCTATAGCTACCAAGAAGACACATTTGTGCTGCAACAGCCAAGTCATTAAGCAAAATTGGTAGTTCATACAGCTTGTAGAAATGTATGGTGGGAGCCATCACTTTAGCATTTCTGAATAAAAATCAGATTGACAGCAGGGCATTTGTAACATCTGAAAAGGGGTTTGTTGGTTTGTTTGGCAAATCTGCTGTTTTGAGTATTTGCTATTGGTAGGCAGTAATAGGGGGAGGTTGCCATTATTGGTCATCCGTGGTGCCAGCTGCCTATTGACCTTCCTAGTATCTTCGTCTGCAATAGCCAGCAGGTGCTACAAACTTGACACTGGAGCCCCTGCCACTCCCACAACTGAAACCCCGTGGAGGGGGACACGGTTCTCCGCAAGGTGGGCCACAGGGAGGAACACACGTCACCCCATCCCTGCAAGGATGCATGGCATCCACACATGAATCTCTGCCTGGCCCACAGGTTGTCACTCGAGGGCCACAGGTTGTCGTGATCTTGCCGCGGGGCCCACACGCAGGTCGTGGGTCAGTGTCACACACAACTGCACCCTGGCTCCTTCGCACAGCTGGTGTGGAAGAGGGAGAAAAGCAACATAGTGGTTAGAGGTCAACTCACAAGAACATAAGAATAGCCTGCTGAATCAGGCTGATGGCCTATCTAGGCAGAATCCTGTTCTCACAGTGGCCAACCATATTCCTGACCTCATGCAGGATCCGAGCACAAGAGACCTATCCCCCCCCCTTTGGCTTCCAGCTGTTGGTATTCAGAAACATTACTGCCTAAAACTGTTGAGGCAGAGCATAACTCGTATAGCTAGTAGTCATTGGTAGCCCTATCTATGAATTTGTCCAATCCTCTTTTGAAGCTGTCCAAGTTGGTGTCCATCACTCTCTTCCGTGGAGTGAGTTCCATAACTGTGTGAACTCACAAAACTGTCAGGAGCAGGTCAGCAATAAATCACACGGAGTCAGTGAAGTTAACTCTTCATTCAAAGTAACAAGACAGCTCGAGAGACGAGGCCCAGTGAGCAGAGCAATGCTTCCTGGTAGATCTTACTCCAATGGGGCAGTTGTGAGGACTGAAGGTCCCCACCTTCCTACAGTTCCTTAAGCCTCCTGCTCCGCTCGGTGCTTCTCAAGCAATCTGAGACTTTGCCTGTATTTGCTCTGCCCTCTTCATACCTCTACTGGTTCTAGGAGACCAGGGGGAGGGGACGTTAGGGCAGAGGTCAGGGCCCTCACATTTTGGAGTAACATCTAATGTATTTGATATTTAAGGGCATGTATTTTGTATCTTTATATTTCTGAACTGCTCCAGGGTTTTCTTATGAAGTGGGACACAGAAATGTCATAATGACAGTAAAATTTTTGTTAAAAATGTGCACATTCCCCCTAACGAGGGGAGTCCTCCTATGTACCAACTAAAGAGCCCCCCATAAGACCACTATTCCAGAGTCTAAACCTGTCTAATTGCACCACTGTCTGGCCTTCAACTCTCTGGCCTCACAGAAGTCATTATCTCATAGCTTGGGCCCCTGTCACTTTTCCTTGCACCCCCCCCCCCCAAATACTCATGATGAAAACATGATCATATCTCACTTCTCTAATAACCATCATCCCCAATGTCACCCAAGCAGGGGGTCATCATAATACTTACAGATGTTCACAGCACATTCTCCCTCACCCAACCTAAAAAGCAAATCAGGGTATAAATAAAAAATATTATTGTTAGTAGTAGTAGTAGTAGTAGTAGTAGTAAATAAATGGGTTCTTTCCTAGGAAATCACCATCACTGCTGTGCATCATTCATCGACTGAAAAATCTTGGCCTGATATCACACATGAAGGATGTAGAATGGCCCTGCCAGCTTGTGTCTCATCTCATGACCTCTCTCTAGGGCTTTCTGACAATGGCCACCAATGAGTCACCCAAAGCTTCTTTCTATACCCTCCAAGGCACCATGGGGCAGAGCAGGGAGTGTTGTAGCTCAATGGCGGAGCACCTGCTTTGCTTGCAGAAGGCCCCAGGTTCGAATCCTGTCATCTCCAGCTTACCTTTCTTTTTCTTTTTTTAAAAATTGAGTAGTAGATAATGGGGAAGATATTCTCCTCCTGAGGCTCTCAAGAGCTGCTACCAGTCAGAATAGGCAATGCTAGACTTGAGCAGACAAACAGTCTGATCTTGTATAAGGCAGCTGCTAAGTGCCACTGTCACTCTTCCTTGCTGGTTCCACTGGCAAGGAAGGATATTAACTGAACAATGTATCATCTCCTAGTGTCTAAATCCATTTCTACAAGGCTGAAGTTAGCCTAATGGCCCAGCCTCCACTTTTGGCCAGTAAAGTGATAGGAAAACGTAGCCTACTGTACTTCTGCATTGCAGATTGCTGTTAAAGGACCTAAAACAACTTTTAAAAGCCTGCAACTATTTAGACAAATCCACAAGGATTCAATAATGGTTTAGTGATTTCATCTGTTTCCTTCTCCTATGGAGACTTAACAGTGATATGGAACAACTTCTGACCCATTGAGTCAAGCATGCCCCATATAACTATTCTTTATTGATGATATGTATTTATTTACTCTGGACGCAGGTGGCGCTGTGGGTTAAACCACAGAGCCTAGGACTTGCCGATCAGAAGGCCAGCGGTTCGAATCCCCGCGATGGGGTGAGCTCCCGTTGCTCTGTCCCTGCTCCTGCCAACCTAGCAGTTCGAAAGCACGTCAAAGTGCAAGTAGATAAATAGGTACCGCTCTGGCAGGAAGGTAAACGGTGTTTCCGTGCACTGCTCTGGTTCACCAGAAGCGGTTTAGTCATGCTGGCCACATGACCCGGAAGCTGTACGCCGGCTCCCTCAGCCAATAAAGCGGGATGAGCGACGCAACCCCAGAGTTGGTCACGACTGGACCTAATGGTCAGGGGTCCCCTTTACCCCCTTTACCTATTTATTTACTGTACTTATATCAGTTGCCCAATAACATATGCTCTCTGAGACCATGCATTACGCTCTTCCAGGTGCTTGATAGCCTCCTTTTTGCAGTTGTGGGCAGGCACAAAAAACACACACAATGCATGTCCACAATACATAGCTAGTGTGCTACTTTTTGCTAGGTGGGCTCTAGACTCTGCTGCAGTGCAGCCGGTGTGCTAATTCACCCAGTCCTATGGTGCTCACCTGCATTCCTCTCCTTCCAGCAGCTTCCTGTAGGTGACAATCTCAATATCCAGGGCCAGCTTGACATTCATCAGCTCCTGGTACTCTCGCAGCTGGCAGGCCATATCCTGCTTGGCCTTGTGCAAGGCATCTTCCAGCTCAGCCAACTTGCATTTGGCATCTTTCACAGCTATCTCCCCACGCTCCTCAGCTGCAGCCACCTCCTCTTCCAGTTTTGCTTTCTGTGGTGGCAAAGGCAACAGCATCATAACAGCACATGAACTCAGCTATATTGGTCCCTGGACTGTGGTTTGCCTAGCCTTATTTGTTGCAAACTCTAAAGAACTAGAAGGAGTGGTTTTGGGGGACACCCATAATTTCTCTGCATATTCCACAACACTTCAGGAGTTCCCCTGGAGATTTTGTAAGCTGACAAAGTGATAGGCTAATTATTGCTTTGTATATTCTTTCCCACACTGTGATCATTCCTTTTCAAAATGGTTAAACACATGGGGGGGGGGGGAAGCTTTGCTGGATCAGGCCATTGGTCCATCAATTCTAATGTCCTATTCTTTGGTATGCATAAAAACTGAATAAATCTCCCACCCCTTGCTCAGCCTCTCATCAAAGAACAATGGCTTAATTCAGATCCATGTTTCCTAACTATAATAATGATGATGATGATGATGAGGACGATGATGATAATTTATTATTCATACCCTGCCCATCTGGCTGAGTTTCCCCAGCCATTCAGGGCGGCTCCCAATCAAATGTTAAATATAATACAGCATTAAATATTAAAAACTTCCCTAAATAGGGCTGCCTTCAGATGTCTTTTAAAAATAGGATAGCTGCTTATTTCCTTGACATCTGATGGGAGGGCGTTCCACAGGGCGGGTGCCACTACCGAGAAGGCCCTCTGTCTGGTTCCCTGTAACCTGACTTCTCGCAGTGAGGGAACCTCCAGAAGGCCCTTGGCGCTGGACCTCAGTGTCCGGGCTGAATGATGGGGGTGGAGATGCTCCTTCAGGTATACTGGACCGAGGCCATTTAGGGCTTTAAAGGTCAGCACCAACACTTTGAATTGTGCTCGGAAACGTACTGGGAGCCAATGCAGATATCTCAGGACCGGTGTTATGTAGTCCCGGCAGCCACTCCCAGTCACCAGTCTAGCTGCTGCATTCTGGATTAGCTGTAGTTTCCGGGTCACCTTCAAAGGTAGCCCCACATAGAGCACATTGCAGTAGTCCAAGTGAGAGATAACTAGAGCATGCACCACTCTGATGAGACAGTCTGCTTAACTAAGCTTAACACTCTTAGTTTCATTTAAGAGAATTCCCACCCCTACCTCCGTACTATTTATTCACATCAGATCTCCTATAATTTTACCTGGAATTGTTTTCAAGCAGTATTAAGGACTAAAAAATTGGAACTTTTTTTTAAAAAAAGATGAGAGTATCATTTATTCCACATGCTGAACTCCATACCCAGTAGTGATCTGTTGTGATCAAAGAAAATTCCTGCTCGACTGAACTTGAAGTCACTTGGTTCCATGGTAATCAGCTGTGGTACTTCAATTACACATTTCTAATCTGCAGCTAACCTCACAATTGTGACTTCCAAAAGTCAACACTGTCCCGTCTTACCTGGGCTTTGACATTTGAAACTTCTGCCTCCAGCCTGTGGACCATCCGGGTCAGCTCACTAAGTTCTTCCTTGACGCTACGCAGGTTGTCACAGTGTTTGGCCGCAGTCGTTTTCAACTCTTGATACTAAGGCGAAATAGAAGACGTTGGAACCACTGAAAGCCGGGTGTGGTGGGGGAAGTCACACAATTTCCCCTTGTTTCCCCTTCACAAGCCCAGCCCTTACTGTGCCTCTCTAGCCAATGTATGTGGCCTCAGTGGGAAGAGATAGAGGCCAAGGAGAAGTGGATGGAAAGGCCTCACCCCAAAGCAATCTAGAGAGGAGGCTGTGAATGAATATCAGGGCAAATAGCTCCAGCAAAGGGAGATACTTCAAAACAATGGAAACTGAAGAGCACCCCTATAGCATCCTTTGACATCCACCCATCCTTGAGGGAACTCCCTTCTCTAGATTGCTTCCTATACCACGAGCCACTTCTATTTATACCATCACTCATTTTCCTTGTCTTATCTCGTGCTTCCCATCCACAGGAGAATCTGCTCTCCCTGCAGTGCCTCATTCTGCCGGTCCCAATGCCCAGTGATTCCTCCCAGCCACCAGCTGTTCTCCCTCCCCCTCCTTCTCCAGTTCATTGGCACTGTACACATCTTTGCATGTGGGAAACACAGTTCTGTCTTAAACCCAGCAAAATGCAAAGGGCACAACTCTCCACTGCTGAAGACAGAAATGTGGAAGCTGTATGTCCACCGTATGGAATGAGAGAAGTTTCCCATTCCTGCCTTAAGGCATGCTAGATATTTCCACCACAGGGTTCACCTGGCAATGGCACCAAGCTTCAGCCTCAGCCCGGCTCCGAGAGGCAATATCTTCATACCGACGCCGGAATTCCTCAATGACACAGTCCATATTCAAGCCTCGGCTATTGTCCATCTGCACTGTGACACAGGTGTCCGAAATGCAAGACTGCAGCTCGCGGATTTCCTGTCAGAGGGACAGAACATGGTCTGTCAATACTATGGAGTTTTACTTTCATGAAATTGCCTCCAGATTTGGCCTGCTCTTTTCAGAGAAGATGGAAGAATTCCTTTGAATATTTGATTCCACACCTCACTCCATGTTCTCTAGCCAATGTGGGAGGATGCCTTTGATGGCCTGTTTGGGACAGAGGTAGCCAACACCTTCCAGATGTTGCTGAACTCAGCCCAAGCTAGCAAGGCCAGGGATGATGGGAGGTCAAGAACAACTGGCCAGAACCAGGCTGGTTTTGAATCTTCAGCTGCCCTGATAAGAGTTGATGGTGCTAAAGGTCAACCACCCATACTACCTTCCTATTATTCTGTGAGCATGATTTAAGGTGTGGGGAATTTGCACTAAAATGGCCTTAATGTCATGAGCCCAACCCAGTCTAGAATGCCCCTTCCTGCTCCTCTTTACCTCACAGTCTCCTCTAATCAATCACGTTTTATTCCACCCAAGATGATGAAGTTGTCCCATGAACCTCTACAGAAGACCCTGGCCTAAGTCATCCACACCCACCATGCTGTTATCATCCACTGCTGCATCTGAATAGTTGGGGCCTCCACACAGCTGAAGAAATGTTTGATTTGCCTTGAGCTGGTTGAATATCATGGGCAGTAATAGCAGTTGATGGTCTTGGCATCAAAAAGAATCCAAATGTTCTCTCAGCTACATGGAGGCTCACACCAAAGTTTCTGCTTTCTGCCTGAGAGGTCAAGAATATGTCTGTCTGATCTAGTTCTAACATGGTTTTCTTTCTCAGCTCTTACCCCAATTCAAAAATCTTTGTGTTTGCCTTTTGGGCTACAACCTGTCACAAGGGATAGAAGCTGCGGTCCAAAAACCCCACGGGTTTTCCATCTCTGTATGGAATGGGAGAGTGCCTTACCTCCTCAAAGGTAGCTCTGAAAAAGGAGATGTCTTTCCTCAAGGCGTCCACTTTAGTCTCCTTTTCTGACTTGTCCATGAAAACACAATCCACCTCCTACAGGAACATGAGAATGAAATGGGGAAATATTGATAAGAAGCCATGACTCTTAACAATTACCATTCAAGGTGCTAGGACAAGAATAGTGCTAAAACCCACTCAGGTCTAGAAACAAATGCCATATTTTGGAAGACTTGCCACTTGCCTTTTTAATAGTCACATACTCATTTTCAGCACAAGTGCGGCGGTGACACTCCTCTTCGAACCTGATGAGGTAAATGAAACAGTTTGGCCTCACATCTGAATGTTTATTTTATTTATTATAAAACCACTTACAGACTGCTCGATATTTTTAAAACCTCTAAACCATTTACGGTATAAAATAAAACAAGCAATGTCATTAAAACAAAAAGAAAACCGAAAATCAATAAAATAGCAGCATAAAAACAAGTAGATGCATGCAAAAAGAAATGTAACAAAAATTCAGGGGATTTGGGCATCTGAAACAAGATCTTTAAAGTAAAGGGGCAACCCAGGCAAAGAGTGAAACACTGTATTTTTCCCTCTATAAGCCACCCCCCATGTATAAGATGCCCCCTATTTTGGGGGACTCATATTTAAGAAAATTGGGGGAGATGGCCCCATGTATAAGACGCCCCCTAATTTCTTACATTATTTTTAAGGAAAAAATCCTAGTCTTATACATGGAAAAATATGGTATTTACAGGTGGTGCTTATCAGGTACTTGTGCATATCTCATCCAAAATTATTCTGCTCATGTTCATTTTGGGATGACCTTTGAAGACTGACTTTGCTTAATGCTGAGTGAACTCTAGGCTTGACAAATCACAAAAGAGAGAGCTGGCCTATAGGGTTAGTCAATGTAATACCCTGCAGATGCTGATGGGCTACAGCTCCCATCATCCCTGACTGGGACAAGTGGGAGTTGGATTCCAACAACATCTGGAGAGCTACAGGCTCTCTGTCTCTGCCCCAGAGCATTGGCACATGAGGCAGAGTTGTGGCTTCTCTTGTCCATTCTGCCTTCCATCCCCCCATGTCTTCTGTAATGAACAGGACTCCAGATGTGTCACACAGCTGGCAAGGAAGATTTCACACAAGGCCAGAAGAGGCATGACCAGAGGTAGCCACCATTTACTGATCTGCTGGTGGGCCACCATACGTAACTTATGACTGCATTTGGACTGCACAGGTCTGGTTTGGGCTCTGCATTTCAGCATGTCCTTCTGCTAGCAGGCTGAGATGATGGATCTCACTCACTTCTTCCTGTTGCACTCCAGGGTGTCGCTCCAGTTTTTCATTTCCGCCTGCAGCTGTGCCCTCTCACATTCCAAGCACTCCAGCTCTTTCTTCAGGTTGGCAATGTACTCATTAAACATGGGCTCCATGTTACTTTTGCAGCACTTCCTCTCTTGCAAGAAGTCCCATTTCGTCTTCAGCATCAGATTCTGTTGCTCTAAGAATCGGACCTGTCAATCAAAGGAAACAATATTTCTCCCCCACCAGGACAGGAGTGTTTAATTTTAGGGCTGAATCAGAACTGATTCCAATATGAAAGGCAAAGAGGGTCATTCCAGGGGTCCAGGTGCATGCCTGAGTCCCGTTAAGCTCAGTGGGTTTTGCAGAACTGTAAAGCAATGACAAACCTAGACAGCATCTTTAAAAGTAGAGACGTCACCTTGCCAACAAAGGTCCGTATAGTAAAAGCTATGGTTTTCCCAGTAGTGATGTATGGAAGTGAGAGCTGGACCATAAAGAAGGCTGATCGCCGAAGAATTGATGCTTTTGAATTATGGTGCTGGAGGAGACTCTTGAGAGTCCCATGGACTGCAAGAAGATCAAATCTATCCATTCTTAAGGAAATCAGCCCTGAGTGCTCACTCACTGGAAGGACAGATCCTGAAGCTGAGGATCCAAGACTTTGGCCACCTCATGAGAAGAGAAGATTCCCTGGAAAAGACCCTGATACTGGGAAAGATTGGGGGCACAAGGAGAAGGGGACGGCAGAGGACGAGATGGTTGGACAGTGTTCTCGAGGCTACCAGCATGAGTTTGACCAAACTGTGGGAGGCAGTGGAAGACAGGAGTGCCTGGCGTGCTCTGGTCCATGGGGTCACGAAGAGTCAGACACGACTAAAAGACTAAACAACAACATCACATTCACCTCACCATTGAAAGCATAAGAAAAGCCCTGCTGGTGCAGAATGACTACATGCTCATTGCCAAACAAGATGAAATGCATCACTAAATAAGGGACACCTATTTGCATAAAATGTGCATGTGCTGAGTTATAGGTATAGATGCAAACTGAGAAACAATGACTAACATTTTATTAGCTATACAACGGGTCTTCCCATAGAGGAGAAGACTGTGCCCAGCTGACTTGTGGGTCTGCTCAATCTGCTATCCCAGTGCTAATTGCTGAAGAGCAACCTGGGTCAGATCAAAGGCCTGTCTAATCTAGCAGGCTTAATTTAGCTACCATTATCCCCTGTATCAGGAAAGGGGAGCCTGTAGCCCTCCAGATGTTGTACTCCAGCTCCTATCAGTTCCAGCCAGCCTGCTCAATAGTCAGGGATGATGGGAGGTGTAGTCCAGCATCTGGAGGACATCAGGCTCTCCAGCCCTACTATATGCAGAAGAATGTCAGAAGTGCCATGTTGGATGATCAGAACAAAGGCCTTTTTGGTCCAACATTTTGTTTCCTGATGACCAACTGGATGCCTCTGGGAAACCTACATGAGTGCAACAGTGCTCTATTTTCTCTCCTCCTTTTGAAAAGACATATTGATCAATCTCCAACAACACATTTTGTGGCACTGTCTTCACAATACATGGAGGAAGCTGATGAGATGCCACCTGCCTCCTCCACCCTGCTGCAAGTAACAGGCCAGCTTAGATTCAGATCATCCGTGATGTGACTTTGGCTGCTTCTGAAATATATCCAAAGAGTGATGCTGGATATTCCAATCTCAGGTACAAGCATTCTGTATACATTCCCTGCCAAACTCTTTGAACATACCAGCCTTATGCAGAGTCAGAACATTTGTCAGGAGTGCGTGCAGGAGCTAAGCCCTGTGACTGGTAGGGCCTCGCAGGACTGGGGCCTTTCTGAGTTTGGCCTGGAAGGGCAAGGCGCTGCCTCACAGGTGAGGCTTGACAGAAGACGCGTAGCACCTGGTGTCAAGGGCCAGGAGGGGTAATCAGCATTTCCCTCTGGCTCTTTGCCACAGCAACACGCTACCCACCTAGCTGTGCTTTGGCTTCCTGGCATCCTGGCTCTTGGACCCTTGGCTTCCTGACTCCTGGTTTCCTGACCCTTGGACCCTTGGCTTCCTGAATCCTGGCTTCCTGATTTGTGGACTCTTGGCTTCCTGACCCCTGGACTGCTGACCCTGGACTGCTGATTCCTGCTTCCCGACCTCTACCCCAGTCCCGACGTACCAAGCCGGGACTCCGACTGCCTGTAACCCGGACCATGACACCATTGGTACAGCTAGGTCAGTATTGCAGTGTCTCTCTCCAAGGCAATGGACATTCCTGTGCTATGTGGAGATGCCAGGGACTGAAGCTAGGATGGACCTTCTGCATGCAATTCAGGAGCTCTACCACTGAGCTATAGCCCTTCCATGACTCACCTTGTCAATGAAACAGGCAAACTTGCTGTTGAGGAACTGGAGCTCATTCTTCTCTTGGCATTTTGCTGCTTGGGCTGTGGCATCGATCCCCAGGTTGAGAGGTTGAAGCAGCGTCTCGTTGCAAGTGACAGGGGTGATGCCAGATGAACAGGGTGGGCAGACTCCAGAGCGCCTGAAACCGTAGCCGTATCCAGTGCCGCAATAGCCGAATCCAGTGCCGGCACCATGACAGCTATATCCACACCGCGGAGGCAGGCAACTGTTGGCAGCCATCCTGGGGCCACATGAACCGGCTCCACCCAGGCTCCTGCTACTAAAATGACCCTCTCCTCCATAGCTGATCTCAGTGACCTTAGCAGAGCAGGAAGTGCTCATCCGGGAAGCATGACCTGCAGGATGCAGGACAGCTGAGCAGGAGCTGAAATTCCTGGGGCCACATGCAGAGTTTGAGTGGCAAGACATGGTTCCGTAGGAGAGCAGAAGCTGAAAGAGGAAAAGGGGAAGCGAAACTGCAAAGCAAAAGAGGCAGAGGTAGTGTGGTTAACTGCGAGGAAACGCTCCCTTTATATCTGTTTGGGACAGCTGGGTTTGGCCAGCATTGAAATGGAAGAGAAAGCAACTTCTCTGACATTTATTAGCTTGGGACATTTAGGGAACCAACTCCCCATGTCCTCATCCACGCTGTTTGATGGCTGATCACCTGGTAGATGAAAAAGAGTTTTAGGGATTTCACAAAGGCCTTTTTTTTTTTTTACAGCGCCTACAATGTTGTATTAAAAGGGTGATTCCACCTTCCCCTTTTTATACATGGAGGAAACTAGACTTGTAATTATGAGACGGATATCAAGAAGTTGGGATTTGAAGTTGACACCCCTTCCTGGTTTTGTCAGCAGTTGGCTGTGCGACCTCTGCATCTCAGTTTATAGACCTCTTAGCAAAGATAATGAGGGGGTTGGACTAGATGACCCTTGGGTCCTTTCCAGCTCTGAGGTGCTATGATCTCCACACACACCCAAAAATGTTGGGAGACTTAATTATCAGACATGCTGCCTGGAGATGAAAGGTTGCTTTGATGTAGCAAAGTCATTGCTGTGCAACATAATGGGACTTTTGCAAAATCCCTCTAAGCTGCTGAAGAAGCAGAGTCTTTGTGAAGTGGAAACAGAATTAGGAATGCAATGACAGGCATGGGTTTCACACAGTCTCCCTGAAAACTGCGGCCATCAACACATCATGCCACAGATTTATGGGGTTACTCTCAGTGGAGACCCCTCCCCAACCCCAATAAGTAGCTGTCAGGTGTTGCCTTCACTGTATTAGTATCATCTCTTACTGCCTGTAGTTTTTAACTTTCCCCTGTCTCTCATTCCTCTTCAGCCTTGGGTTGAAATATGGGCTACCCTATGCTCTGCTTCAGGGACACGGGTGGTGCTGTGCTCTAAACCACAGAGCCTAGGGCTTGCCAATCAGAAGGTCGGCGGTTCAAATCCCCGCAACGGAGTGAGCTCCCATTGCTCGGTCCCAGCTCCTGCCCACCTAGCAGTTCGAAAGCACGTCAAGTGCAAGTAGATAAATAGGTACCACTCCGGTGGGAAGGTAAACGGCGTTTCCATGCGCTGCTCTGGTTCTCCAGAAGTGGCTTAGTCATGCTGGCCACATGACACGGTAAAACTGTCTGCGGACAAACGTCGGCTCCCTTGGCCAGTAAAGTGAGATGAGCGCCGCAACTTCAGAGTCGTCCACGGCTGGACCTAATGGTCAGGGGTATGTTTACCTTTACCTTTTTGCTCTGCTTCACTGAAGCCAAATTCTCCTACCCCTTCAGGATTATTTAAGCTGTGAGAGGAACTTGCCTTTCAGAAAGGGGTATAGGAGGTCTCTAGCATGTGGGCTCCAGGCCCAGTTATTGGAGTTACTTCTTCCCAGGCTAAAGGGTGATGTGGGGTAGAACTGTCTCAGAGGGTACATGTGATCTCTGTGTCCCAACAGATCTCTCTCTCTCTCTCTCTCTCTCTCTCTCTCTGTAGTAAAGTGGTAGCTGCCTGCTTGCCATACTCCTAAGCCCTCTGGCCATACTCCACTGCTGGAAGAGTATGACATTCAGCCTGCCCTCTGTCCCCACAAGCTAGGCTGCTGCCCTCAGGTGCTGAAGGGCCCTGCCCTGCCGTCAGTGTTGAAGTATGATATGACGGTCGGTCGGTCAGTCTGCTTGTGTGTGTATAATAGGGTGGGTGCCTTTTCATCCTCCACTCCAAGCAGCAAAACGTCTTGGGTTGTGTTTGTGTATGTGCACTCTCAAGATCCAGTCTTCATAGCATAGTAGAACACCTGCTTTGCATGCAGAAGGTCTCAGGTTCCATCCCTGGCATCTCCAGTTAAAAGAATAAGGTTTCAGCTTATGGGAAAGACCTTTCAGCCCCAGGTCCTGGAGAACCATGACAATATAGGTCTAGATGGACTAACAGCACGACATTGTAGAAGGTTGCTTCCTACGTGAATAATCCAACCGCATTAGAGCCTTTAAATTGCAAGAGGGAATAGCCCATTACCATTTAAAGGATGCCAAGTCAGATTGACCTTGGAAGATGTGCCAGCTATGTGGCATCAGGGGTGGGGTTAGTGCAACAGTCCCATTCTTTGCTCTATGCATGGACTGCACCTATGGCTATCATTGGTCAAGGGGCTAGAGTTGCCTGTGAATTTCATGTAATGGGCAATTTAAGAAAGTAAGACATCCACAGGAAATTCCCAAAAAGCTTTAAAATGTTTCAATAATATTGCCATTGAATTTCAGGTAAAGCAAAACTCAAGCACACGAAAGCTTTGCGGGGATTTTAAGGCAAAAGGAAGAAACATTATTAGAGATAGATGGATCTCCCTTTTCCCTTCTTAAATTCTCTCTGTTTCCACAGTAATCTTTGGATTTATTTATTTTAATCCTCATGAAAAATTGGCATCACTCTAGAGCACATTTCTCCTAATCCACATATTTTTGCAAGAAATGTTCCTAATGCAATGCATTTTTAATGCCATTTTCACTAATTACATCAATGTTTGCGTGCACTTTTCCTTAACATATATGCACATTGTTTCATTGGAGAACTGCTTTGTAAAACTCAGAGAAGTTTGCATTTCGATGGGTAGCTGTGTTTCGGTTCATGTATTGGTTCGAGAAGCATGAATTGGGTAGTTTTTCATCAAAATGCAAACAAAATCAAATCTGTCTCCCATCCCTAAACATCAGCAAAATTTATAGGAGTCTTGTGTGCCTATATTTTTCATGTAGTCGTAAGCATAATAGTAGCACCTCTCTCCTAACTATTAATGCATGTGATCTTGAGCAAACACTCTTAGTTTCCATTGTATTGTGAAGGTGCAGTTCTCTGAATGCTTCACACACCACAGAAATTTAGTACTGCTGGGCTAGCAAGTAAGTTGCTAATAATGACTAGAAGTGTTGATGTTGCAAATGATACTGCCCTACTTAATGTTTTGCAATGATACTTGCACAATTTCAAGACATTAACTTCTCCCATTGTGATATGACACATTCACCATAAAAATCTATACAGCCTATCATTTATTTCTCAGGGCAGTCCAAAAGGTGCCCGTACAATCGGAGTTGGGCTTCTGTTGATTGTGTGTGTGTGTACTTGAAATATACAATGGTTACTAGGGAGGAGTATACAAGCTCCCCACCCCACCTCTTTGGATCAGGAATGGGAACATCTAGTCCTCCAGATGTTTCTGAAGAATAATTCTTTGAACCTTGGCCATGCTGGTTGGGATTCCAGCTGTTTCACTTGCAAATTCCGCCAAATATATGGTACATATGTCTGCTGCTGGCATCACATTAAAGGTAAAGGTAAAGGGACCCCTGACCATCAGGTCCAGTCGTGACAGACTCTGGGGTTGTGGCGCTCATCTCGCTTTATTGGCCGAGGGAGCTTCCGGGTCATGTGGCCAGCATGACTAAGCCGCTTCTGGTGAACCAGAGCAGCGCATGGAAACACCGTTTACCTTCCCGCCAGAGTGGTACCTATTTATCTACTTGCACTTTGACGTGCCTTCAAACTGCTAGGTTGGCAGCAGCAGGGACCGAGCAACAGGAGCTCACCCCGTTGCGGGGATTCGAACCGCCAACCTTCTGATCGGCAAGTCCTAGACTCAGTGGTTTAACCCACAGCACCACCCGCGTCCCTGGCATCACATTAGGCAGGGCCTAATGTAGTGCACATGGAACACTTCGGGCTGCCTGGGGCTGGCAGGAGTCACACAAACAACTGAAGGGCACCATATTAGCCATACCCGTCTGCTACCTTTGCTCTGTGCTGAGATGGTTCATATCTGCACTCCAGATTGCTATTACTCCTGTAAAAGCTGGACCTAGCACTTAGGACATGCATGTGAGATTGCATGAATTCATCCCTGTGCTTGCCTGTGACATTAGGTGCGTGAATGCAAATAAGGAGCTCATTTTTTGTTACGTTAATGGGAAGCAGCCTTGGGAAAGTCTGAGCAGCCTTGAGACTATGGTTGGTGGGGATGGAGAAGGGGAAGAGTTAACTTTCTCCCTTCTACGGTTCTGACAAGAATAGCCAATCCAAAGGTACAGTTTGCATTCCAAGGAACATTCCCTCCTTTGAGACCAATAGGAGCTTCCCTTGATATACAGGAAAGAGCTTCTGAAATGTTATTTTTATCAGGACCATGGCAGGGAGAGGAAAAACTAATATTCTCCTTCCCAACCCATCCCCATGGTCCCAAGGTTGTTCAGGATTGCCTCATGAAGATGGAGAGGAAGTGGGATTAGCTCTGCTGTTGTTACACATGGAACACAAGCCATTTGAAACTGGGTCATGTTGGGGGGCTGGTTTTAAAGTAGTAAGTGATTCCATTGTGGGGATGGGCCATCCGAAGAGGTGGTAACTAAAGCTACCCTGGTTGGAATGACATGATGCAATGTTGTCCACTTGCTGAGTGTACCAACTTAATATTTTACATTATGTACATGGTTGTAGGCTGTGGGATAAGTTTCAGCTATGCAGGGCTAGCCCAAAACATTTTGGCACCTAAGCCAAACCACAAAATGGCACCCTCCCTCCCCCAAAGAAGAAAGGGTAAGTGAAGATCTACAACAGGAACAAGAGGGGAATGCAGATCTACATCAGGATCTGCTGTCCCTATGGATCTGGCCACCTGAGGTGGTCAGCTCTCGTTACCTCCTGGGTGGCCCTGCAGCTATGTATAGGATAGCATTTGAATGGTTGGAAAGCCTTCCCATCTTGATGACCCTACGGTTCAGAGATAAAAACACACCCTTCTCAATACCAGTGCCAAGCTGTTTCCCTCACCAGGGTGTGGTGTGGTGGATGACACAAAGAGAGGACACAGATGAGGGAGGGAACCCATTCATTGAATGAGGAGCACCACATTGGAATGGACACAGGGATGGAGAGAGTAGACCAGGGTCATCACAAGCTTGGACAATATATGCATGTGTGCATCTTGGAATTACCCAGCATGATGCTTGTCAGTGGACCCATAAACTAAGTCCACTAGAAAGCAATGTCATTAAGGCAGGCATAGGCAAACTTGGCCCTCCAGAGGTTTTGGGACTACAACTCCCATCATCCCTGACCACTGGTCCTGTTAGCTAGGGATGATGGGAGTTGTAGTCCAAAAACACCTGGAGGGCAGAGTTTGCCTATGCCTGCATTAAGGTGATGTTTTTGCAAGTAATCATTCAATCAAGTAACAGAAGTGCATATGGGAACCAGCTGCCTGTAGATTCATCAAACAGTCTTAAAACTGAAAAATGCTACCCATAATGTAGCTCAACCATAGCATTCATTCTCTGCTGCATGGTTAAAGCTAGTCAGACTGGAGTCATTGCTTAGCTGAATTGATTTATTTAAAATAGAAGTTCACATGCACACACACAAAAGCAGAGGTTCACATTTTTAAAAAGCAACCCACCAGACGGTAAAAGGCATGCCCAAGCCTGAAACAGTTTCCACTTTCTTGTTGGGCTATTCTCTGCTAGCAGTCATGCAGTGCTAAAGCTCTGTCACTGAGATATAATTTGGCAGATACACAAGCAGCTGAAAAGCAACCCGACTCCCTTCCTCATTCACCAAAACTGGTGTATTCAGTCTCATTTAGGCTGTCTGAATACCTTCACCTCTATCATTCACAGAAAGCACTTTGTCTTCTTTTGCAAACCGGTTTTGGTTATACATTCTTGGCTTGCATGAACACACAGCTTTGTGCAAACCAGTGCCTAGATCGGGCATTTAAAAGGGCTGGCAATGCAATTCTGTGCATGTCTACTCAGAATCAAGCCCCACTGAATTCATTGAGGCTTTCTCCCAGTCCCTGCCAAGGTAAATGTGTACAGGATTGCCGCCCAAGAGAAATTCTTAGAAGATAGATGTCTCTGGCTATTAACCATGGCATCAAACTGCAGGTGCAGTATGTATTTAACTACTGCTGGACAAGCAATAAGGAAGGGCCATAAAATGTTTTGTAGCATCAACAAGACATTGCTGGAATCAAAATATCAGTCAATATCCCCATCTTCCTTCCAGGGAAAATACAGCAAGTTTTTTTTTTTTAAAAAAAGCTAACCTATGACCCATTTGAGATACATATATATGATCATTTACAGTATTAAGACCCTGTCTGGAAGCACCCAAAGTTTGTATAAAGAAGCCATTTCCCAGGACAAAACAAAAGGAGAGAAGCAAGAAAGGGTGCAAAAGTCTGGGTATTTGCAGGTAAGAAATAGACCTTTAACAGAATATTTTCAGCAGGAAGCTATGTACTTATTTTTTTATCATCAGAATACACAGCATTACCAAATGAAATAACCCTTCCCTTTCACTGTAGGTGTTGGAACTTGCTTTCGTAATCAGTTAGCCTGAAATGACAACATCCTCTTAAAATCAGTGTTTTGGGTGATCAAGGGGTTTAACTGGAGCTGGAGGAAAGCCCCTGGGGGCTCCTGCCTTACCTCCGTTTGATCTTAGAATAAGGGACCACAAAAATAGCAACAGTCTTTATCCTGGTTATGCAGAAGTTGTTTGATACTCAGAATTCACTGTGAATTGAAAGTGACATAAGATTAGGGAGCCAATAAAGGTGGATGGACCTGTCCCCAAGGATTGTTCTGAAAAGTACAAGAATTGCTGAGTCAAGGTACAAATGCTGAATCAACAACTTCAGGCATGCAGAAACCCAAAGTCTAGATTTAACCTCTTGATGCGCAAGGAGAAGCCGCTGCTACATGTTTAACGTTGGAGCTCTTCACACTCTGGGTGCTAAATCCTTCGGGAGGAGGGGTATGGCTGTCTCCACATGGGAGACCCGCATCTCCACAGGGAGCCATGCCTCTTTTGAAACCTGCTGGGCTGCAGGGATCTCTTCCATTTGTCATAATGTGCCCACCTCTTCCGGGTCCACAGTGGTGGTCAGGATTGCACACGACAGCGCCCTGGCTCCTCTGTACAGCTGTGGAGGGAAAGGGAAGGAAGGGACCACATGATGAAATATATAGAAAGGATCCACAAAAACAGAAAGAAATGAATTAAGTTAGCAATGGCATTTCTGGAGGCATCTCTTGGAGGTACTTACAGATGTTCACAGCACATTCTCCATCGCCCATCCTAGAAGGAATTAAATAGATTGAAATATCTCATTAGCTGAATATTAGGCCTAAATCACCAACAGTTTCATAGCTAGAAATAGGTTGTGCATGTATATGTGCATCTCTCTCTCTGTGTGTGTGTGTCTGTCAATCTATCCATCTGTCTGTCTGTCTATCTATCTATCTATCTATCTATCTATCTATCATCTATCTATCTATCTATCCGTCTGTCTGTCTGTCTGTCTGACTGACTTACTGACTGTCTGTCTAGGTATGGCCCTTTAAAGAAGCAATCCAAACTACCCAGATAGGGGGACAACATACAGAAAAAACAATGACTTGGCAAAGGCCAGCATTAAACAGCACCCACAGCAGTAAATTCTCAGTGAGAAAAGGTAAAAGGTAAAGGATCACTGGATGGTTATGTCCAGTCAAAGGTGACTACAGTGATAGCTCTGGATGCAAACAGGATCCGTTCCGGTGCCCTGTTCGCATGCTGAGTAGAGTGTAACCATTGACTGCGCGTCTGCGCGTGCGCAGGTCACAATTCGCTGCTTCCGTGCATGCACGTGATGTCATTTTGAGCATCTGCGCATGCACGAGCGACGAAACCCGGAAGTAACGTGCTCCGTTACTTCTGGGTCGCCGCAGAGCGCAACCCGAAAATACTTAACCTGAAGCTACTTCAACCTGAGGTATGACTGTATGGGGTTGCAGCGCTTATCTTGCTTTCAGGCCGAGGGAGTCTGCGTTTGTCCACAGACAGCTTTCCGGGTCATGTGGCCAGCGTGACTTACCCACTTCTGGCGCAACAGAACACAATGATGGAAACCAGAATGCACGGAAACGCTGTTTACCTTCCTGCCGCAGCAGTACCTATTTATCTACTTGCACTGGTGTGCTTTTGAACTGCTAGGTTGGCAGGAGCAGGGACAGAGCAATGGGAGCTCAATGAGAAAGTCACCACCCAAGTGCAGGTAGGAAAAAGCCTGGGAAAAGTCAAACTAGCAGGTCCTTCATGTTGTGAATGCTACCTGTCACCACCTGGGGGCACGTTTATCAGAAAATATTCTAGCTTGTAAAATTGGTGAGTTTAAATCCTCCTGTATTAAATTTTCTCATTGTGCTGCTTATTAGTTTTTAAGAATGTAAGAAAAATAAAATGAGAACCTGGCACAAGGTCATGTTACATTCATTCTCCCCTCCTTTATTCTGATCACTTGTGCATTGGAAAAAAATGCACACAGAACATATGTACTTTGTTGTGTTTGCTTCTATACTTTTTACGAAGTGCTTTGCACATGAATAAATGTCAAGGAACCTCTGCATCTATGCTATGGAACTTCTGTACATTGCAAAGGATTCTGTGGATTCTGTGGCATATTCCAGGTGTACATTCTAGGTGTTTGTGTGTGTGCTGCTACCATCTTAGATAGACTGAAAGCGTAGCCTACAGAACAGGTTCTCTGTTGCGGCTGCATATGGCAAAGGAGGATAAATGATGGAGAACTAGCTGTCTTCCAGTGAATTTTGAATCATTACTGATTTGCTTGTGGACCTTTATATGTGCAGTGCATGACTAACACTCTCATTGCCTTCTGATAGCTGCCTGCAAGAATTGGAATCTCCCTTGCCCCACAACATACCGTATTTTTCGCTCTATAGGACGCACTCCCCCCCCCCAAAAAAATATGAAGGGGAAATGTGTGTGTGTCCTATGGAGCGAGTGCAGGCTTTTGCTGAAGCCTGGAGAGCAAGAGGGGTCAGTGCGCACCGACCCCTCTTGCTCTCCAGGCTTCAGGAAGCTATCCGCAAGCCTTCGGAGCGCGGCGGGAGTTCCCGCCGGGCTCTGAAGGCTTGTGGATAGCAGCCTGCAGCCTGAAGCCCGGGGAGTGCAGTGCCAACTCCCGCTGTGCTCCCTGGGCTTCAGGCAGCTATCCACAAACCTGGAGGGGAAATAATTTTTTCCCCTTTATTTCCCCCCCTAAAAACTAGGTGCGCCCTATGGTCCGGTGCGCCCTATGGAGCAAAAAATACGGTAAGTATATGGTAGGGGTGGGGAACATGCGATTCTCCAGATGTTGCCGTGCTACAGCTCCTGGTTTTTGAGCTGAAAACTGTATCACAGAATTTGGAGAAGTGTGAGATCTGAAGACTAATTACATCTTAAGCCAAGTATTAGTGTGGGAGATGTGAATTAAGTCAGTTCACTTAAAAATGTGGACCAAACAAAAATAACCTTCATCCCTATTTGTGATACAGTTACCAGCCCCTCCAGAAAACACACACATCAAGGTGCATTTTTAAAAGCATAGTTTGAAATAAAATATATTTAGAAATCTGCATTTTGAAATAAAGTGATATAGGAATGTATGTTTGCAAAGAAAACATGTTTACAAATATGTATTCGTCTGGAGATTTCCTGTGCGGATCTTTTTTATGCAGATTAATTCAGAAACAACACAATAAGGGTATTCACGTGTTACATTCAACAACTGTACAGTTTGCATATCTGTGCATGCCATAGGTTGATTTGTATTATACAAATCAACAAATGTACACACTTAATATTGCAGTGAAACTTTGACATTTGCTTTTCTGGGGGAGCTTTTCTAAAATAGACTTTCAAATGGGTCCAGAAGAGTCTCACCTGAACTCCTCTCCTTCCAGCAGTTTCCTGTAGGTGGCAATCTCAATATCCAGGGCCAACTTGAGGTTCATCAGGGCCTGATATTCCCGTAGCTGGCAAGCCATGTCCTGCTTGGCTTTGTGCAAGGCCTCCTCCAGACCTGCCAGTTTGCATTTGGCATCCTTCACCGCCATCTCCCCACGTTCCTCAGCTCCAGCTACCTCCTCTTCCAGTTTGCAGCGCTGTTGGCACAGAACACACAGAGGGAAGGCGAGAGACAAAGAAAAGAGCACACGACAACAAGGTTCTGTAGCATAAACAGTCTAAGATGAATCTCCATTCTCCTTTGGTTTTCACATGACTATCAGATGGGTGGTGGCATGAGAAAAGTTCTTGAACAGCTTGTGAGTGGCTGTTCCCCAGGCTTGCACAACTCTACACTCAGGTCCAGTGGCACAGATTCAGGAGGCAAAGGAGGAGGGAAGAGGGGGAAGTTCCATTGCAGAGTGGAACTCCTTGCACTTAGGAGATGTGTTAGGTACCACCCAATGGACATCAAAGGGAACAAGATAGTTCTCATCTCGATGTTTTGGAGCACACATCCAACTCACTAAGGATTGCACATAATGAAACAAACCTTATCTCTTCTTCCAACACAGGCAGAATGGGTCTTGAATAACATATCCCCTTCTTAAGATGACATTGTGATAATCAGCCACAAGAACTGTTAATATTAGCCCCATCACCGTTATGACACTCCTCAACAATAGTGGTGGTCTTGTTGCAGCCAAGCTCCACTGGTCCTTCTCACCTGGGATTTGACATTTGAGATTTCAGCCTGCAGTCGGTGAACCATCCGAGTCAGCTCACCAAGTTCATCCTTGACATTGCGTAGATTGTCACAGTGTTTGGCAGCCGTTGTCCTCAGCTCCTGGTACTGCAAGGAGAGAAGTGATGTGGCTGAGCAAAATACCAATACATCTGAAACCCATATGGATAAGCTGAACCTGCTTGCCAAACACATACTCTCTCACTGAGCTATAGATGCCACCTATCACAGGCAAGTGTTCCTCTACACCAGCGGCTCTCAACCTGTGGGCCCCCAGATGTTGTTGGCCTACAACTCCCATCATCCCTGAGCTCTGGCCTTGCTAGCTGGGGGTGATGGGAGTTGTAGTTCAGCAACATCTGGGAACCCATAGATTGAGAAAGGCTGCTCTTCACCCAGCTTCCTCCAACCTGAGGCCCTGTAGCTGTTGTTGTGACTACAGCTCCCATCATCCCTGACCATTGACCACATGGCTAGGGCTGAAATGAGTTGGAGTCCAACAATATTTGAAGGGCACCAGGCTGAGGCAGGCTGGCCTGCATTATGGAGCCAACGAGGAGAAGCTGGCAGAGGGGAGCTGTTTTAGGTGGTCATCCCATGGCATGCATACCAGGTGATTCCAGCCTTATTACCTGTGTCACCCAGAAAACTATTGTCGCTAGGTGACTAATACACCAATGTGGTGTAGTGGTTAAAGTGTCAGACTGGGACCTGGGTAGCCAGGGTTCAAATCTTCACTCAACTATGAAGCTCATTGGGTGACCTTGGGCCAGTCACTGACTCGCTGCCTAACCTACCTCACAGTTATTGTGGGGGAGACCTTGGAGAAAAGGGAGGGATATACTGTAAATGCAACAAACAACCAGGAGGAGGAGGAGGAGCAGGAGCTGGTCCATCTAGTCCAGCATCCTCCTGTCATCACAGTGGCTAACCAGAAGCCTCTGGGAAACCTACAAGCAGGATTTGATGACAAGAGTACTCTCCCTCTCCTGTGTGTTCCAGCAACTGGTATGGAGAAGCACTGCTGTCTCCAGCAATTTAGGTGGAGCATAGTCGTAATGGCTAGTTTGGGGTACACACACACACACACACACACACACACACACACAAACAAACATATATAATGGAGATGTTCAAGAAGATAGATCAATGAACCTGGCACTGGCACCAAGCCTCAGCCTCGGCTCGACTCCGGGAGGCAATGTCTTCGTACCGACGGTGGAACTCTTCAATGATGCAGCCCACATCCAGGCCTCGGCTGTTGTCCATTTTCACTGTGACACAAGTGTCTGAGATGCATGACTGCAACTCACATATTTCCTATGAATTACACAGAACACATTCAGCCTGTGGCTGTTGAATTTCCTTTTTTAATGTCACAATTCTGAGTTGGATAGTAAACTGTTTTACTTGGGATAAGTTTTTTTAAGTCTAAAAAAAGGATGCTTGCACCTAGACCTTAAACATGTTTATGTCTACATAAAGTGGTATTCACACATAATATTCAACAAGTATACAATCTGAATGCCTGTGTACACAAATAGTTGAGGTACACATTCAGGTGTGACAATGACCCTGTGTACATATCAGTTGAGCTGTACAAGTCAAGAAGGGTACATTTATTTCCACTTATTTCAGGGGCTCTTAGGATGACAGCCTTCATCTTAAATAAGAAGGGAGGGGAGCCTCTGACCTTCCAGACGGGACCAAGGGAACCATTTTGTGATGACAACCAAGCAGCATGATCAAATATAAACATTCCTTGTTACCTCTTCAAATGTATTTCTGTAAAAGCAGATGTCTTGCATTAAAGTTTCCACCTTGGCTTCTTTCTGTGATTTGTCCATGAAGACGCAATCCACTTCCTAGGAGAAGACAAAAAGGTACAGTGCTGAAGCAAAGTTTCATCACAGCTCCTACTATCTGGGTTGCCTAGACAGCTAGTTAGTGAGGAGTATTGTTGTACATCACTTGCACTCGGTTACAGCTGATGTAACCGAGTGCTTTGTCAATAAAGAATTAAAAATCCAGTTGCTTACCCTCATTGTTCTGGTTGCGTTCAGGACATTTATGAATAATTTGCACTTTCATAAAAGGTTTATCTAGCTGGTATACAATATGCAAAGCTATAATGAAATCATCAAAAGCATCCATGAAGACATTGTTAAAAATCAATAAAACATAAATAAATACTGATCTGCTTGAGGTGCTTCAAGCCAGGTCTTTTGAGTCTTCACCTAGACCAGGGAAGGAGAACCTGAGGCCTTTCAGATGTTGCTGGACTCCAGCTACCATCAGCCCCAGGCAGCATGAGCAATGGGGAAAGATGATGGAAATTGTAGTCCCTCGTCACATGGAAGGCCACAGATTAACCTCCTTTGGTCAAGTCACTACACTGCATTGGTTCTCCAGAACAAAATGATCATATTCTTGCGATACTTCTTCTCTACATCTGATCTATTCTGATACCATACCAACAAACCACCAACAATTCTCTCAAGGTCTTTAGCAGAAATATGGCCCATCACTTGCCTTTTTAAGTGCAACATATTCGTTTTCAGCAGAGGTCCTTCGACTGCATTCTTCCTCAAACCTGGGGAGGTTATAAAGACAGACTTTATGCGTTAGTGACTAATAATTAATATCACCATGTTGAACCACAAAGAAAGGAAGGCCTTTCTAAATAGAAGGTCATTATGTCCTCAAATGACTAGCCGTATAGTGACTTGTTAAGGCTTGGGATCTCATTGAAATAGTCCACTTATGGGTAGGCTGGACTACTTCCTAATCAAAGCTGGCCCTAACATTAGGCAGAGTGGTGGCAATGGCAAGGAGTGGCAACAAGTTGTTGGAAGACAGAGCAGTGAGTTTTGTGTGATCTGCCCTGCACTGTCTAAGCTAGCCAGCTGTCCCATCACCAATGTTGGAATAAGATTCAACTGCCTGTCTGGCTGGTTTGTGTATACAGAATGGTGGTGGTGTCAGGAAGCCACCATCATTCCTTTGCATCGGGCAGCAAAATGTATTGGGCAGGCCATGTTGTTCATATTCCAGGCACAGGCTCCATGGCTCACATGACTCAAGGTGCCCCCCTCATGCAAAGGTCCCAGCTTATAGAAAATGTAGCCAGTTGGGGAAAAGTGGGAAATGAATGAATGAATGAATGAATGACAGGAGTTTGGGCCATTGGTCATCATGACCCACTACCAGGTTGTGGCCTGGTCTGATGTGGGTCACAACAGCAGCACAGCCACCATACAAATATCTATTGGCACTGGGTCACCCAGTGCATCGGGGACGCAGGTGGCACTGTGGTCTAAACCACTGAGCCTCTTGGGCTTGCCAATCAGAAGGTCGGCGGTTCAAATCCACATAATGGGATGAGCTCCCATTGCTCGGTCCCTACTCCTTTCAACCTAGCTGTTTGAAAGCACACCAAAAAGTGCAAGTAGATAAATAGGTACCGCTCCAGTGGGAAGGTAAATGGCGTTTCCGTGCGTTGCTCTGGTTTCGGTGTTCCATTGCGCCAGATGCGGCTTAGTCATGCTGGCCACATGACCCGGAAAAACTGTCTGAGGACAAACGCTGGCTCCCTCGGCCTGTAAAGTGAGATGAGCACGGGAACCCCAGAGTCTGCTACTGGACTTAACTGTCAGGGGTCCTTTACCTTTTCAGCACCCGGTGCATGATTGGGTTAAAGGTGGGTGCCAGGTCTGAAAAAGTTGAAGAGTTCTCAATGTGAGCACTGAGAGCATTGAGCCAAAGGCCACCTGCTGCCAAGCAGTGCAACTCACACCACACGGCTTCCCACAAAGAATCCTTGGAGCTGTCACAGAGCTACAGTTCCCAGCACCTTTAACAATCTGCCTTGAACCCAGATTTACCACTTCATTGAGGAAAACATGGTGGGCCTAATGCAGAGAATAACCTGCAGAGAATAACCCTGTTATTCAGCCATGCTGCTGTTGCGACCCACCTCAGACCAGGCCACTTAGAAGAAAAATGCTGAACCCAGCCCTGGAGTTCACCTCTTCTTGTTCCCTTCCATGCTTTCTCTCCAATTGTTCATTTCGACCTTCAGCTGATTCCTCTCCCATTCCAGGCACTCCAGCTCCTTCCTCAGCCTACTGATGTATTCGCTAAACAGGGGCTCCATGTGGCTTTTCTGGCGCTTCTTCTCCTTCAAGAAGTCCCACTTGGTCTTCAGCATCAGATTGTGCTGCTCCAGGAACCGGACCTGAATGAAGAGCAAAAGCAGCTTAAGGGAGACCATTTTTTATTTTTATTTTTAAAAAGGGTGATGTATTGGTTGATCATGTTATTTATTCACATGCTATGTAAGAAACTAGACAGCTTCTCAAAAAGCAGAGACATCACCTTGCCAACAAAGGTCTGTATAGTCAAAGCTATGGTTTTCCCAGTAGTGATGTATGGAAGTGAGAGCTGGACCATAAAGAAGGCTGATTGCCGAAGAATGGATGCTTTTGAATTATGGTGCTGGAGGAGACTCTTGAGAGTCCCATGGACTGCAAGAAGATCAAACCTCTCCATTCTGAAGGAAATCAGCCCTGAGTGCTCACTGGAAGGACAGATCCTGAAGCTGAGACTCCAATACTTTGGCCACCTCATGAGAAGAGAAGACTCCCTGGAAAAGACCCTGATGTTGGGAAAGATGGAGGGCACAAGGAGAAGGGGACGACAGAGGATGAGCTGGTTGGATAGTGTTCTCGAAGCTACCAGCATGAGTTTGACCAAACTGCGGGAGGCAGTGGAAGACAGGAGTGCCTGGTGTGCTCTGGTCCATGGGGACACAAAGAGTTGGACATGACTAAACAACAATGTAAGAAACTAAACTGGAGAAATATGCTTGGCTGGAACGTTCAACCATCCAAACCCCCATGCACTTTGAACTGGTCCCCATGTGCACTGTGATACAGACACAGGAAGGTCCTACATGTACTTCAGTTGAGAAGGCAGATATATGTGCAGAGAAATGCTTCTACTGATCTGCCTCCATACAACACAGAATGTCTATAAGGGCATAGATTGGGGTTGAGGATTCCCATGTCCTGGGTGGACCACATGTGACCTTCTGGAGTTCCCTATCTGGCCCTTGACAATCCCCCAGGCCACATCCAATTCTGAGCAACACCAGCCTTTCTTTGCACTTCCCTTGCATGTTTTTGCCTAGCTGGAATATGTTCTTGAACTCTGATAATGCTGCTTTCTTGCCTGGGCAGAGGATAGAGAGGGGCGTGTGAGATATGAATAAACCAGGCTATGGCTAAAAAGTAAAATTCCCATTCCTTGCTCTGCCCACTTTTGCTCTAACCTTCACTAACAGGTGGCCCCCAGAAGGTTGCCAAGAAAGGAATGTGGCCCTTGAGCTAAAAAATGTCATCACCCCTTGATTACGGTATCAGAGAGCATTATTTTCACTCTTTTTTGTACCATGTGACATAGAGGGCCACCCCAGCCATGCCTTTCTCCCATGTAGCTGATTTGGATGTATCCACAAGGAGGAAAACATATGCAAAGGGATTTCACTGGGACTGAAACCCCCATATCAGTTTTGCAGAAAAGTTCTGCACGAGGACTATCCTATCTGCCATTGCAACAGATCCTTACATATGTTGTTTCTGTATCCATTACAACAACCCTGTAAGGAAGGCAGATGAATATATTTGCAGAGGGGAGCAGGGATTGACACTGAAAGAATACTATCTCTAAGTTGAGAGAGGAACAGGGGGCATTTACCGTATTTTTTGCTCTATAAGACTCACTTTTTCCCTCCTAAAAAGTAAGGGGAAATGTGTGTGCTTCTTATGGAGCGAATGCAGGCTGCGCAGCTATCCCAGAAACCAGAACAGCTTTCGCAGCAATCCCTCTTGCTGTTCTGGCTTCTGGGATTCAGAATATTTTTTTTCTTCTTTTCCTCCTCCAAAAACTAGGTGCGTCTTATGGTCTGGTGCGTCTTATAGAGCGAAAAATACGGTGAATTCACAATGCCTATCCATTAGCTCCTGCCTGCAGCCAGCAAGTGCTATGCTAATGGAGTGATCCTGGAAAAAAATTATTTTGTATTTTTATTTCTTATGTCTGATTTCCCAAGCACATTCTGCTACATGTATAATATAAGTGTAAACATTAGTGCCTGGAATACTATTTTGTGCTCTGGAAGGAAGAAAAGAAGGAAAATTTATAGAAACATTGGCAGGGTTAGTTTCCTCAGAACAGAATACGCTGGAGGCTTATTGTGCTTTTACAATAATGGATTACTGAATGGTTTAATTCATGTATTTGCAATAAGTTTTTCAAAAACATCTTACAAATTCACTGTTCAGGGAGGATACCGGACTAGATGTGACTTGCCCAAGACAACAAACTGAATGCAAAGCAGATATGGGGGCTTATTCCCAAGCCTCACTTGATCCCCACAACCATTTCTGCTTCAGAAGGCAAATGTGTCAGACTTGGGAACAAGTGAATTGGCCGAGACCACAAATTTCCAGCCTCTGCAAAACTAAACCATCAAAATATTCAAATCCCAAAACATTAAGTTCTGATAACCCAAGCCCCAAAACATTAATTTCCTTTCAATGTCTTCCCAAAATCAATTCACCCCCTCCCAAATTTTCTCAACAACAACAGCAGCAACAAAAAAGTGCCCCCAGAAGAGCTTCAGCAGGTTTTTAAATTGCTGCCGGAAGTGTTTTATTCCATTCTCTGGCATTTCCCAAACTGTTAATTTTCACATTATACTTGAGCATTCACATGATGTAAAAGCTACTTCTGGAGAGGTAATGGAATATAACTCATGTTTAGGGGTCATTTCTATATTACATAATTCGGGGGGGGGATCCCTATGCAGCCCCCTTAACCTGAAAAATTGTGAAAGTGGTGAAATTTGGGGCAGTATACCAGCATACATTTGGGACGCGGGTAGCGCTGTGGGTTAAACCACAGAGCCTAGGACTTGTCGACCAGAAGGTCGGTGGTTCGAATCCCCGTGACAGGGTGAGCTCCCGTTGCTCAGTCCCTGCTCCTGCCAACCTAACAGTTTGAAAACACGTCAAAGTGCAAGTAGATAAATAGGTACCGCTCCGGCGGGAAGGTAAATGGTGTTTCCGTGCACTGCTCTGGTTCGCCAGAAGTGGCTTAGTCATGCTGGCCACATGACCCAAAAGCTGTACGCCGGCTCCCTCGGCCAATAAAGCGAGATGAGCGCCGCAACCCCAGAGTCGGCCACGACTGGACCTAATGCTCAGGGGTCCCTTTACCTTTACCATTACCAGCATACAGCTGTTTCCAGGCGAGGATCATGGGGAAACAAATTCACACATGTGCAGAAATTGTGGGAGAGTAGTGTGTCACTGGTGTGAGTGACATTTAATGCAACATGCTGGTATATAAGTAAGGGGGTGGGGAGAGACCACAGATCCATAGTGCAACAGACACTGAAGTGTGAAAGGAACATTAGCAAACTTGAGCGAAGAACTAGCATTATAATCAGGTAAAGCAACACAATATGTCCCACTGAATGAACCCACTGTTGGCTCTTTTGAAACTGTTTTTATTGTATGCTGTGAACAGTCCTGCAACTAAAAAATAAATAAAAATCAAAGAGCAGTATGCAAAATGATCTCAGCAAAATAAAGAGAAAGAAAGTTCCAATTTCTCCCTTCTCCCTCATGATTACTCTACATCCTTCAGCATTCTCTATCTACACACAAATACAGAGCCAATGACCTGCGATTTTCACACTGTTAATGCTTGGGTCAAACAGAATTCCCCCTTTGTCTTCAACCACATACAATTATCTGACCACTGCTTGATTGGCTTGAAAGCCCATTCAGCTCAGCATCCTGTTTCCATAGTGGCTAACCAGACACCTCTTAGAAGCCCACAAACACACTATGAGTGCTATACCGCTCTCCCCACTTGTTCTTCTGGACAATTTCTAATCTGGATTTTTCTGTTGGCATTGGCATGCTGAAAAAGTTGCTTCAGGTGCGCACAGGTCGTTCTTGATTCCACACCACATGGTTTCTAGAGCCACAAATCCAATAAGCTCTAAACAGACCAGAATGTAGTAGAAAAAGAAAAAAGAAAACTCCCAAACCTTCTGCAAATAAGCTATAGGAACTTGGGAAGCTGCCTTATGCTAAATCAGACAACTGGTCCATTGCTCCAGGCATGGCCAAACTTGGCCCTCCAGATGTTTGGGGACTACAGAGGTACCTTGGGTTACAAACGCTTCGGGTTACAAATGCTTCAGGTTACAGACTCCACTAACCCAGAAATAGTACCTCGGGTTAAGAACTTTGCTTCAGGATGAGAACAGAAATCGTGCAGCAGCGGTGTGGCGGCAGCAGGAGGCCCCATTAGCTAAAGTGGTGCTTCAGGTTAAGAACAGTTTCAGGTTAAGAATGGAACTCTAGAATGAATTAAGTTCTTAACCAGAGGTACCACTGTACAATTCCCATCATCCCTGACCCCTGGTCCTGTTAGCTAGGGATGATGGGAGTTGTAGTCCCAAAACATCTGGAGGGCCAATTTGGCCATGCCTGGTTTACACTAACCACCACTAACTCTCCAGGGTTGAAAGCAGGGGATACTCCTAGTCCTATCTGGGGATGCCAGGGATTAAATTTGGGGTCTTCTGCATGCAAAGCAGATGTTCAGCAGGTAACCTGTGGCCCTTCCCATTTTATCCCCATTTCTCCTTTCTGCATTTGATTCCTAGGGTAATCTGTTTCCACACACCCCAGAAACTGGCCATTGAAACAAGTTGAAAGCGTGCTTCTCTTGCAGAGGGTGGACCATTCAGCTGATTTGGATATCAGTACCAGCTGCTGCGTGAACTGGGTACATCTCCCATATTCTTATGCAGCCATCCCTCTTTGTTTTCAAAACCCCAGCTTTCCAAATGTGTTTGGAACATGACTGAGTAACTTGCCAGTGAGGCCAAGAGAGCAGCTGGTGCCACTAGAGTAGGACCAAAGAGCCCACTCAGCAGAATGAACACTCACACTTTACATTGTGGGTGCCCTTTGTGGGGTCTCACGCGGTGCTACAGTTCCCAGGGAACTTACTGGCAAACAGGGACTGGCCTGCCTCTCAGTGTTATTTTTTGGAGGTTCAAGCCCAGCCTCAGTAGTCAAGTTTCATTGCTGGGATTCACCCTCCCTGCCCTCCCTTAGTTTAATGTTTTCTTGTTTGCAGGTAAACTTTTTCTTCTTGTTTAGCGGATGCTGCTACAGTCTATGACTGGTTGCTGTTGAAGGACTGTGAAGAAATTTTCCTGCTTTGGCAGGTTTTGTCTTCCCCATAGCAATTTGTCACAACTTTGGCCGTTATGGCCTTGGGTGGAATCCTTTAGTCTTTTCTTCCCTATAATGGGGGGTGTGTGTGTGAAGTGGTGACTCACCCCCCTGCGATGGTGATTCCAGGGTCCACTCTTAAAGGGGTGTCACTAGCCACACCCTGAAAGGTTGTCCGTGAACTACCCTGCGTGCGGAGATATGGGCTGGGATGCCTGCCACACTTACATCTCGCAGAGCACCCCCATATTCCATTTACCCTGATGTGCCCCAGTTCCCCCAGCTGCGGGCTGGGAGGGATACACACCCAAGGCCTAAGCCAAGGTCTTCCTACATTCGGAAGTTTAATGAAGTTGTGGCCTAATTTTAATTCCATATAACGTTCTCAGAGTCTTTATTCCTTCCTTATGATCCCTGGGGGCTGGGGCTGTCGCCGCCTGGTCACACAATGAGCAGGAGGGCTATCAAATGCCTCAGGGGTGGCTTACCAGATTTCAAAGTGAGTGAAGTATTCCATGTTGCCATCTAAAGGGGTTGCAGAGGACACAAGGCCATTAGGTTCAGAGTCTAAGATTACCTAACTGCATTACTACCTTGGAGAGGAGCGAAGTCCGAAAATGTATAAGACAATCTCACACTGGCCACTTCTTCTGTGTAATAGCAGCTGTTGTCCATGTGCTCTCAAAGTGAGTAAGGATGGGCAAACCAGTCCCTTCATGGTTTATGACACTTTCCCATGTGTTCAGCCAGAAGTCTGCCCTCTTTCCACATGCCCCCCCCGCCCCACAACAGCCACATGAAAACCCACATTTAAATATGTATTTAAAAAACATTTTCTCTCCAAATATGCATCTCTAAACAGTCTTTTCTTACAAAATACACATTTTTAAAGGTATTCCAAAACTTTTTTGCATAGAAAACTGGATCAGAACACTTGGACAACAAAGACAGTGGACAATAAAGTTCCAATCTGCACATTGGTCCAAGAGATGCAGATCAGTTTAGTGTCAGCTGGGAAGGGAGGGGGACAGAGAAAGGGCCATTGCATTCACAGGAAAATCGGAAGCAGCTGGCATCTGTCTTTGGTGAGCAAAAGTCTCCCATCTCTGACATTTCCTTGCACAAGTTCATATTTTCCTATTTCAGTTTGCTTTCCAGTATTTTTTATGCAGTTGGAATTTAGGGGCTTTGGGGCAAATGGCATGTAAATGATTGAACAGCAGGCTTTAAAGACACATGGTCAAAGCATCGCATTGAATGCTGACCTCTTAACTCACCTTGTCAATGAAACAGGCAAATTTGCTGTTCAGGCACTGGAGCTCGTTCTTCTCCTGGCATTTCATCGCTTGGGCGGCAGAGTTGATTTCCAGGTTGAGAGGTTGCAACAGAGACTCATTGCAAGTCACAGGAGTGATGAAGGGCGTCCCAGTTCCGCTGGCAACGGGTCGCCTAAGCCCATATGAGCCATAAGGACTGTGACTGAATCCAGTGCCAGAATAGCCGACTCCCCGATGGCCATATCCATATCTAGCAGAGTGGTAGCCACCACTGGAACTTCTGGATCCTTTTGAGCTGATGCCACCCAGACTTCTGCTGCTAAAGTAACCAGCTGCCCTGAACCCAGAGCTGGATCCCATTGAAGGGCTGGGAGAGCTGGTACGGCCTTTGCTTCCGATCGGCGGAAGGACAGCTGAGCAGGAAGTAAAGCTGCTGGGTCCGTTTTCAGGGCTCGATGGAGAAGACATTGCTTCTGAAGTTAAATGCGTTCGAAAACGAGGAGAGTTAAAAATTGCAGGAAGGGCCCACACAAAACAGCCTGATCCACTCTGAAAAGAGCTTGGCCTTTATATCTCTTTGGAAAACTGGGTTTGGCAGTCTCATAATGGGGAGATCAGAACGTTTCCAGCATTTATGAGCTTGGAATGCTGTGCTTAATTAAAAAAAGCAAAGTGTGGCTTATTGAGCCTATAAAATATACACAGCTACTAGTCATTGTCCAGAATGCACAATCTACAAAGCTGTATTTTTTACTCTCCCTGGTTCTTGTTTTTTAGATTGTTAATGGCAGGGGTGCCAACTTGAATAAAATATTGGGAGGGGGCAAGTAAGCCCCGCCTCGCGTAATTGATCACAGAATGCTGCACATGCACTCCAAAATGCCCATCAACTTTGGGGGCAGCCCTCTTTCTTCTACACAAGTTGGAAAGCTAACATTGAAAGCTGTTGAAATGAAAAATGCAATAAATATAAGTGTGTGTGTGTGTGTGTGTGTGTGTGTGTGTGTGTGTATGTATGTGTACCCTACATTTTCCCCCTACAAAGCATGTGCTCAAAGCAGCTTACAAATAAAAAGTAAACATAAAACAATGATGAGCCAACCATTAAAAGACTATTATTATTACTACTAATAAGTCATACTCGGGATAGACCTACTGAAATCAATAGACCAATATTTCAATAGATCTATTCTGAGTATGACTAATTGAAAATAACAATAACACATGATAATATTGTTAAAATATGCAATAGCTTGTACAATATTATTTTCTGATATACCTACAGAATGAGTGAAAAGTCTCTAGCATCTCAAGGAATGAAAATCTCAATTTACACATTTCTTCAAATATTTTCCAGAATTCAAATACAGCCAAATGCATCAATAAACACAGATAAAACTTGCATAGATTTAGAAAGATTTCCATAAATACATAATTTCACGTATATTTATGCTCTTCCCTGAATTATGATCACAAGGGGAACGTGGACTGGCTCAATAAGAATTAGCCAATGGGTGTGGCAGGCAGGGACACTATGTTGCATGTCCAGCAGCAGCTGATGACTAGACCTGCAAATCTACCAGATAACAAAAGGAGGGAATGCTGTGTGTGTTTTCTTCCACCCTTTTATACTTTTTTAAACCTTTATTTTTGCAAAACGTTTTTAAGCATGCTTATGACTAAGTGTCTCTGTGGGTTAAACTACAGACCTAGGACTTGCTGATCAGAAGGTCGACGGTTCGAATCCCCACGATGGGGTGAGCTCCCGTTGCTCGGTCCCTGCTCCTGCCAACCTAGCAGTTCGAAAGCACGTCAAAGTACAAGTAGATAAATAGGAACTGGTCCGGCGGGAAGGTAAATGGCGTTTCCGTGCACTGCTCTGGTTCTCTAGAAGCGGCTTTGTCATGCTGGCTCCCTCGGCCAATAAAGCGAGATGAGCGCCGCAACCCCAGAGTCGTCCACGACTGGACCTAATGGTCAGGGGTCCCCTTTACCTTTACTGCATGCATGTGCACCTCTTCCCTTAAAATCACCCCACCATCATTGCAATGTCTCCTGTTCTACAGCAAACTGAACCATAAATTTTGGTGGCGCTATTGCCTCCTTCCCTATTTCATCTCTCTTTCTCCACTGTGGGTCTTTCCTGCCAACTGGTAGGCAAATATGTCGGTTTTGGTTTCTCTCGGTTTCCCACAAATTCAGTTCTCCACATTTCCACATCATTTTGCAATTATTATCAGTGCTTTTTTTTTCTAAAAAAAAAACACCAAACCCAATGACGTTTAGGGGTACTCTCATTTTGACTGAAGAAAACCACCATTTTATAGTTCAGATAAGGAAAAATAAATACAGTAAATGGACAAAAGTACAAAGATTCACAAAATGTTTAGGAGTACATGTACCCCTGCGTCCTCCCAGAAAAAAAGCACTGATTATAATTATTATTAAAAGTCTTCATGCAAATTAATCAGCATGCAAATTTCTCCTAATATACAAGTTGTTATGCAATTTTGCCTCACACACACACATGGTTACAAAGCAAACATAATTTTTTGTATGTTCTTTTTGCTAATATATGAATTTATGTGTACATTTTAGCAATGACTTCTTGGAGGAAGAACTGCATTACAAAATTCAGAGAAGTGTGAATTTTGAAGGACAGCTTTGCTTTGCTTTGCTTCACATATTATTTCAGAAAATGAAATAGGTGAGCATGAGCAGCTTTGGCTCATTAATTCCAGTGGGACTTCTTTGAGTAGCAGTTAGTTAAATTCAACCAGTTGTGACCCAGACATTTTCCTCTCTTTACTGGTAGGCTTAGCTGATCCCCTCAGAAGACCCCAATAAATACCGTATTTTTTCGCTCTATAAGACGCACCAGACTACAAGACGCACATAGTTTTTGGAGGAGGAAAACAAGAAAAAAAAAATTCTGAATCTCAGAAGCCAGAACAGCAAGAGGGATCGCTGCGCAGTGAAAGCAGCAATCCCTCTTGCTGTTCTGGCTTCTGTGATAGCTGCGCAGCCTGCATTTGCTCCATAAGACGCACACACATTTCCACTTACTTTTTAGGAGGGAAAAAGTGAGTCTTATAGAGCAAAAATACAGTATATTTATAAAAAAAAAATCAGGGAGGAGCTTGACAAAGTCCCCGAAGTCTGAGTTCACTATAGACCCCTAGATACCCCAAACAAAACAATAATATAGCTGCTAGCTGTGGAGCAACCAGAGAATAGAGAGAGACAGAGACAGAGAAACCCAAAGCTACTAATAATGATTAAGCAAGCCTTCAAAAGGGCGGCAGCAACAGATCCTATAATCATAGTTTTTATTGGCAGATGAAGCTGGGATGGCAACAAAAACCACAAGGTTAATTATGGCATCTGCTCGCTTCACTATCCCTCACAAGGGCTTAGATACTTGGCTTGAGCATCGTGATGGTCATCAGTCTGTAGTGCAGCCGGTTAAGCAAGCATCATGAAGCGTCCGCCACACTCAGGAATGTGCTTCTGGTGTGGTGATGACATTTCTGCAAAAGCTTCCATGGGGGTTAATGAATGTTTAGCACTCAAGAGCCCTTCTCTTCTCCCTGGATGTCTTCACTCACAATGAGCTAGTTAGCCAGCCTGCAGATTTTGCAATTAGGTTGCATGGAAAGGTTCAAAAACGCCTCCTTTTAGAAGGATGGGCAACTGGAGTGGGATTCTGCCTTGGCCCTGGCCTAATATTGTGTGACACAGATCCATGGCTGCTTTATAGGAGGCTATTCACATGCACACTCAGAAGGGGAGCTGTCAGTGTTTTGCCTGGTTATTAAGCCCATCACATGAGAAGCCTATTGCCCCAAATTCCCAGCTCATAAATGCCTAGAAATTGCTATTCCTCCACAACGAAGCAGCCAAACCCAGCTTCCCAAAATGGATATAAAGGACGACTTGCCCTACTTAAACCCACAAAGCCTTTGCCTCTCCTCTCCCCCTCTCCTCCTCCCCCCCGGAGTGCATCTTTTGCAATTCCTTTCATCTGCTTTTGCTCCAGCTCCTCCAGGCAGCAATGTCTTCCCACTGTGGTTCTGGATCTGATCCAAAAAATTACAGCTCTTATTCTGAGGTTCTGCCCACCAAAGGAAGCCAGGGCCTTATGAGCCAACCTCTGTGCCCTCCACTGGGTATTGGGATATATTATGGAGGAGCAGGGGGCTTTAGCAGCAAGAGTGTTGGCACTTACGGACCCAACTTTTCCACCAGTAGCAGAAGTGGCTGTCGTGGTGTTGTTGCTGAGCATAGCTATCATGGCACTGGATATAGCTGCAGCTTCATGGATACTGGAAGCGTTATGACCCGTACATCATGCGCCATCGCTCCTGTGATTTGCAACAAGTCCCTGCTGCAACCTCTGAACCTGGGAATTGATACCACAGCCCTAGCGGTGAAGTTTCAAGCAAAGAATGAGCTGCAGAGCCTCAATAGTAAATTGGCCTCTTTCATTGACAAGGTGAGTTGTGGGAGGGGTGGGGGGAAATAGGTGTCAATCGGGATCTATCAGAGGAACACAGCAGAATGGTTATGGTGAAAGGAAATCAGATTAGAATGAGATTCTAATGCCAAGTTTTAGGCAAAAGGCCTAGCAGAACAATCTGGAAGAACTTGACATTCTTGACCTTATTCTTGCAAATACTACTGATGTAAAGGCCTTTATGTTCTCTCAGAGCAATTAAAAGTGAATTGGACAAATGTCTTACACAAACATTGAGCAAGGTTTTGTTATAGAAACATTGTCCCTGGACAGAAAAATTGTTGACCTTTCTCTTGCCAAAGTTGTTGAGCGTTTCAGAGAGAAGTAGGCAACAGTGATATGGGGCAATATGGGCTGCCATACATCCGGATTTTCCAAGATATTTCTGCAATATTTCAGCCTGGACTTGTGGCTTGCGGCTACAGTTTTCTGGAAATTCTGGATGTATGGCAACCCTATTTGGCCCAAGTATGTGGCAAATGTGGGGACGCAAGTGGCACTGTGGTCTAAACCACAGAGCCTAGGACTTGCCGATCAGAAAGTTGGCGATTCGAATCCCCGTGACGGGGTGAGCTCCCGTTGCTCGGTCCCTGCTCCTGCCCACCTAGCAGTTCAAAAGCACATCAAAGTGCAAGAAGATAAATAGATACCGCTCCAGCGGGAAGGTAAACGGTGTTTCCGTGCGCTGCTCTGGTTCTTCAGAAGTGGCTTAGTCATGCTGGGCACATGACCTGGAAGCTGTACACTGGCTCCCTCAGCCAATAAAGCAAAATGAGCGCCGCAACCCCAGAGACGTCTGCGACTGGACCTAATGGTCAGGGGTTCCTTTACCTTTATATGTGGCAAATGTACTGTACTGACCCTAGAGATAGCTGATGAGTGGGCCTTGTGTTACATAATGATTGCTCCCCACATCAAACGGGGGGCGCCTTTTGCACGGTTGCTTGCAGCC